AAAAAATTATTCAATTGCTTATTTTCAACAACTAAATAATATAATATACACAGGACTATTTATAAAATAATTTTATATTTGTAACATTAATTTAATAAAAATAAAAAAAGGTAATTTGATATAGAAATAATTCAATATAGATTGGAACCAAAACTTTTTTTTTTTTTTTTAGTTTTTTATTTTTTTGATTTTACCTCTCAAATTTTTATTTTTTTGTTCCATTTAAAGTTTTTAAAAAATAAAACATATTAAACAAATTATAAAAAATAATAATAATAAAAATAAATAAAAAATAACAATAATATTAATATTTATAAAAAATATTTGGATACACCACACATTCATAAAAAAAAAAAAAAAAACCAATTTATATACAACACTCATATACCACACACTCTATTTATATTCAATAACAGGTTGTTTTTTTTTTTTTTTATTTTTATTTTTTTATTTTTTTTATCTTATCCCACACTATAATAATATACATATATTACACCACTTTTAATTGGGATGTTGATAGTGTTTGTCATACTCCAATACGAAAAAAAAAAAAAAACAATTTAATTAATATTTTTATATTTATTTAATTTATTAAAAATTTATTTAATTTTGTTTTATTTTATTTAAAATTTATTAAAATTTATTTAAATATAAATTAATTTAAACTTATCATCATTATTATTATCACATATTATTTTATTTTGCGCTACGAATAACAATTTTAAATTAAATTATTTAAAATTATTATAAATCAAATTTAAAAAAAAAAAAAAAAAAGTAATTAATCATTTATTTTTTTCTAAATATAAAATATAGTAATAATAATAATTGTTTGTTTATTTTTTTAAACTATATTTTTTTTTTATTTTTATTTTTTATTTTTTCAGTATCATAAACTTTTTTGTTTTTGAAATTTTCGTTTAATTTTTATTTATCAACTTATCAAATTATATCATAAAAGTTTGTATTTTTTTTATAAAAGATATATTATTAAATATATATATATATATATATTGCTTTAAATTAATAAAAAAGCAATATTAACAAATTAATTAATAATAAAAAAAATTATACTTTGATAATTTTGCTTTTATATCAAAAATAATATATAAACACATATATCATCATTAATATCAAATTTGTGTATTTATAATGTAATAATTCATTAAAGTTATAGTTTGTTTTTTATTAAAGAGCTTTTTTTAATCTCTAAACATCTAAAAAAAAAATAACATAACAATTAATATTAGTATATGTATAATATTATTATTACTATTATTATTATAAAACATATAATGGTATATTATACACTCACACAATAACTCACCCACATAACACATTTACTATATCAGAGAAATTATATTTTTTTTTAAATTTTTTTTTTATTTATTTTTTTAAAAATTTATTTTATTTTTTTATTTTTTTTTTGTTTTCAAAATTTTAATTTATTAATATTATAATTCATTGCAATTTAAATAATTTTATTAATATTAAACTTTTTTTTATTATAATAATAAAATTAAAACAGTTATTTATTTATTTATTAAAATCAAAATATTTATTTGAAATTTAATAAACAGTAATACAGCACAGGAAATATTTTTTAATTCAAATTAAATCATCAATCAACATATATATATATATACTAGAATAAAATGTCAACTCATACATTACAAGTTATTTTACCAATGAACGCTGAAAAGTTTTACGAAATTACAGAAACTAAAGAATTTGACCAATTCCAAATTCCATTTTTGGGTTTAGATTCTCACGAATTGGTTGAAGAGATAGATATGGGTGATCATCTTCATAGAATTGTTAAAATTAAACCAAAAACCAGCATTCCAAAAATTTTATTAAAATTCACAACCTCAAACCAAGAAGTTTCATATCAAGATACACAAACCAAATCAAAGGTTAAGAGAGAGATTACATTTAAAACACAAGCCCCAGTTATGGCTGAACATATTCAGTAATTATCACACAATTGTTATTTTAATATTATATTATATATTGTATTTGATACTAATTTTTTTTTTTATTCTCTTATTATAGTGTTAATGGTATTATTAATGTTGAACCATTAGACGATAATTCATGTTTAAAAGTTATTAAAGTTACATTTAGATTTACTGGTCCATTACAATGGTTCTCATCAATTATAGAAAATAACATTCTTTCAGAATTAAAGAAAACTATGGAATTACTCCCAACCATCATTGGTGAATATAAAAAACATTTATTAACCTTAGAAGCCACTAGTACAACTACTGATGCTGCTGCCCCACAAGCCAACCCAATCCAAGTTAATGCCGAAAACAATACATCAAATTTCGAACAACCTGAATCTGGTAGTCCATCCAAATCCCAAACCACAAATAACAGTAGCGATTTACTTAACCCTGTTGCATTATCAGCCAATTAGTTTTTTTTTTTAATACCAATATCAATAATAATATAACAATTTTTACAACAAAAAATTTAAAAAATCAATATTTTTAATTTTTCAATTAAATAATTAAAATAATTCATTATTTTTTATTATACAGTATTTCTATCTCTTTATTTTCCCTCTCCTTTTTTTTTTAAAGTTAAAATTTTGAAGAAATTATAACAAAAAAAAAAAACTAAAACCTAACCAAATAAATTTAACAAATAGTTAATTTTATAAATATTTTATTCTTTTTTTTGTTAATTTTATAAAACGGTGAAATATTGGATCGATTAAATTTAGAGTGTTTGCATTGGTTATTGGAATTTCTATTGTAATATTTAAGTTGTCAATATTCGAGGTGGTAATTATTGGACTCGAACTGTTTTTTAAAATTAAAACTTGTAAATTTGGGAAATAATCTAAATTTAAAATTTTGGTATAGTTTGAATTATTGAATACCAAAGTTTTGATTTTATTGTTTGGGGGTAAACTGATTTGTTCAATTTCCAAGTCAAAAAAAAAATCTAGTTCTAAATACTCTAAATTGGTTTTATCTTTTATCATTTCAGTAAAATCTGATGCTGATAAGCGGTAAGGTGTTCTAACAATAAGAGATTTTAAAAGTGTTGGTGATGATTGGAATTGTTTATAATAGTCAAAGCAATTGAAAACACAGTTTAAAAGGATTGGCTGCTCTACATATTCTAACGAATAACCTATTTCAAAATATTCTAGTGTTGGGGGTATTGATTCTTTTATTATTTTTTTGTTATATCGATTTCCCAATTTTAGAGTCTTAAGTTGATGAGGTAATACATTAATGCCAATATCTTGATTAAAATTGTCACCTATATTTAGATAGGTCAGTGTATTTGGGAATATATTTTCTTCTATTAGAGGATATCCACCATTATTAAATTTTGGGTAGTCTGGATGGCACATAGTTAGGTGGGTTAGATTTGGTGGAAACATATTGGATCGTAATTTTATATTAAAGTCGACCTCTAAACTTGTGCAGGAATTGGGTAAAATTGAAATCCCATTAGAGTTTAAAATTTGAATTTAGTGTTTTGAGTTTAACTAGCCTTGGGGGATACTTGAAAGATTCTGGAAGCTTTTCACAGAATAGAGCTAGTTTAGTAACAGATTCGGGTATTTGAAAATCATCTGATAATAGATTTTCTTCACAGGAATTATGGTTCAAGGTAAATTTCTCTAAATTGGTTAGGTGTGTTAAATAGTTTGATTTGAGTTCCATTTTGATGTCATTATTCCCTAATTCAAAGTCAATAGAAAGTTCTTTTAGTGAGTTTGGTAATGCATAGTCTTCAATAGCTGTTTTTCTAGGTAATGAAATTGATAGTTTCGTTAAATTTTGAGGGAGCCAGCCTTTTTTGATAGTGGTATTGTATGTAATATCTAATTTGCGAATTGTATTGGGAAAAACTAGGTTTCGAACGTTCCAAAGATTGCATCCAAAACCAACAATATTGTTGTGTTTTATTATATGCTTTATTTTTGGTTTCGAATGGTATCCTATTATTTTTATTTTCTTTAGAGAATTACTTGAATCTTTGGTCAATGGTATAATTTCACATTTTTTATAAATACTGAATATTTCTATTGATCTAATGTTTGGGGGCAATTGATTTAGATCAAAGGTTTCTTTTATATCGACCATAATACAACTTAGGTATTGAATAAATTTAAACTGATAAAACTCTTCAACAGAACTAAAATATCTTGTACCATAAAAAAAATTAAATAATCTTAAATGTTTTTTGATAATACTATATATATGGATATTATTAAAAACAATTCTGTATAAAACTCCTATATCTCTAGTCATTTTATTAATATATTATTTGATGATTTCTAAAATAAATATTTAAAAAAAAATCAAAATTTTTTTTTTAAATGAATAATTTCCTTGTTTTTTTTTTCAATTTTCAATTTATTTTTTTAATATAAAATGCATATTTAAATATATTTTTATCTCAATATTTATTTAATAAAAAATTTAAAAAAAATATAATGAAGCTACGTTTTTCTTTTTTTTTTTTCCATAAAACCAATATTATATAATCCTAAACTACAAAGATTTTTAACGTAAATAATAGAATTTTAATATGAATGTAAACTATTACTATAAAAAGGTCTTCAAATTCCAAGACTTGCGACAAAAAAAAATACGTAAAAAAAACCTGCCGCTAAAACGAAAATGGGATTGGTTTAAAAAAAATATCACAAAAAAAATTTTATTAAAAAAAAATTTCCTGGCAATGTTCAATTTTATCGTTTATTATTGACAATCAAAAGATTTATTGTAAAATGAATAACAACACCTTTTTTATTTTTATTTTTTTTTTTTTTTTTTTTTATTTTTAAAAAACTATGTGAAAAGTTTCAATATAAAAACCGTGTATTTTTTTTAGTTTTTTATTATTTTTGATATCTAAAAAAAAAGATATATACACCAACATGTTGAAATTAAATATTATTTTATTAATAGTATTATTTATTGGTTTGATTAATGCTGAATCAAAAGTCATTAAAAAATATGTTGAAAAATATGACCCAAATTTTAAATGGACTTTAAATGCAACATATGATATTGGTAATGCTAATGTTCATGTTTTAGAATTCAGTATGTAGTTGTTTATTTTATAAAAAAAGATAGGGAATTTAGGTTTTATTAATTGTTTATTTTCAATATAGTTTCACATAAATGGTTATCAATTAATGAAACTGATTCACCAGTATGGAAACATTGGTTACAAATCTGTATCCCAAAAAATTATGATAAAAAGAGTGAAACTGGTATTTTATTTGTTGAAAACGGTGTAAACCAAAACTGGACTGTTCCAACTGCTAGTCAATTGAATAGCTTTGGTAAAATGCTTTGCTCTGCCGGTAACCAAGTTACAGCTACTTTATTACAAAGTCCAAACCAATTTATCATGTTTGAAAATGATGGTGTAATGAGAAAGGAAGATGATATCGTTGCTTACACTTGGATTAAATTTATGAATAACAAGAACACTGATTGGATTAGTTTAAACCCACAAACTAAATCAGCCACTAGAGCTATGGATGCCGTTCAACAATTTGGTAAAACTGCCACAGGTAATTACAATATTAAAAAATTCGTTGTTACCGGTGCCAGTAAAAGAGGTTGGGCTACTTATGGTACTGCAATGGCCAAAGACCCAAGAGTTATTGGTATTGCACCAATGGTCATCTCAGTTTTAAATCTCGTTGACAATATCGGAGCCCAAATCCAAAGCTACGGTAATTGGTCATTTGCTCTTCAAGACTATATGAACCACAACGTCACCAAATTCCTTTACACCAAGTATTTTGAAAAGGTTACCGAAATTATTGACCCAATCAACTACATTAAATCTTTAAAGAAAGTCAACAAACTTGTTATTTTAGGTACTGCTGATGAATTCTTTATTCCAGATTCAACCAAATTCTTCTACAGCAAATTAAAAGGTGAGACCAAACTTGCCCTCTTTGCCAACACTAACCATGGTGGTATCTTAAAACAAGAAGTTGCCAACACTATCGTAAACTTCTACAATTTAACTTCTACCAAGGCCAAAATGCCACAATTTTCATGGTCTATTGATTACTCTAGTGATCACAACACCGGTAAAATTTCTCTTAAGGTTAAACAAGGCACTGTTGAAAAGGTTTTATTATATTCAGCCTCCACTATTTCCACCACTAAAAGAGATTTCAGAATGTTTACTTGCCCAGCTGCCGAATGTTACCAACCAATTAACTTTTTACCAGTTGAAATTCAACCAACTTCTACCAATACCTATACCTACACTATGACTAAACCACAACAAGGTGGTTGGACTGGTTTCTATATGAATGTTCATTTCTCCACTGGATCAGTTTTCTCTAGTGAAATGGCCGTTGTACCAGATGTTCTTCCATTTGCTAAATGTACTATGGAGGAATGTGGCTCAGGTAAACCATCCTATGTTAACGATAATGATGATGATGATCAAGATGATGACGAAGACGATGATGATCAATGTTAATTTAATATTATAAAACTATATATAAATTATTATAATAAAAATTTTATTGTTTATTTTAAAAGGTTATTAATAAATTAAGAAACTTTTTTTTTTTTTTTTTTTCTGGAATTATAATAATTTTTTTTTTTTTATAAATTAAATTGTTTTTTTTTTTTGAAATTATTTTTTTAAATAAAATTTTTTGAAATTATTTTTTCATTTTTTTTTAAAATTAATTGTTCATTAAACATTTTACAGATAACTTACCTTACATTATAAATAATAATAAATTAATAATATAATAATAAATAAAAAATAATAAAAATAAAAAAAACAAATAAATAAAAAAAAAAAAAAAAATGTTTAAATTATTATTGGAATGTAATAAAATTAAAACAACAAATATTTTAAAATATAATCATAGTAGATCAATAAATTATTTATATTCATATAATAACAATAGTATTTCAATCAATCAACATAGACAATTTAAAAATTTTTATTCAACTGATAATAATGATAATATTGACAATAGTGATGAAAAAAATTTAAAAAATCAAGATGAAAATAGTGCAAAATTTAAAAAACAAAACAAAAATATAAGTAGTAAAAAAAAAATATTAAAACGAAAAAGAGTTTCATTAATTAATAAGTCATCAAGTAAAAAAGATTTAACTAAAGATGATAATAGTAATGGTAATAATAAAATTAATAATAATAATATGAATAATAATAATAATAAGAGTAATAATAATATGAATAATAACAATAATAATAATAATAATAGTTATAATAGTATGAATAATTATCATAGTAATAAAAAAAATCAACCAACAAATAATCCATCATCATTTTCAAATATTCAACAAATTAAAACTATACCAAAACAAGTGGTCGTTATTCCTTTATTAGAAAGATTCATTTATCCATCACAGGGAGTATCATTAACATTTGAAAATGAATATAAAGAAATGGGCTCGCCAACTCACATAGGTTTCTTTTTAATTACTGATGAGGAAAAGAAATTATTAACACCAGAAGAAATTCAAAAGATAAAATCATTTTCTGGTGGTATACAAGATATTTCAAAACTTAACAGAGTTGGTGTATTGGCTGAATATAATCCAGATAAAAAATACTTAATGGGTTCACAACTAATCCAGATCACAGGTATAGCTCCACCACCAGAAGAAGCAAAAAATATCGAGTTGGAAGAAGAAATTGAAGAGCCATCTATATCTACATCAACCATTGGCACCAGTGAATCTGTACCAGCTATCGAAATCGCTCAAACCGAATTCCTAACCACACCAGTTGTACCACCCCCAACCAAAAGTAAATATTTAAATGTTTTAATTGAACCATTTGTAGCCAAAGCTCAAGATGAAAGTGCAATTAGACCATTGTTTTTACAATTGGCAAAGAATGTTAATATTTTAGCCGAAAATAGTCCAGAGATAGGATTAAGACAAAGATTATCAAATATCCGTAGAACTGACCCAGATTTGTTATCAGAAAATGCTGCATTTAGCTGTGCAAGTTCATCAAGTGAATACCAAAAGTTTATAGAGTGCAATATTCTTGAGGAAAAATTAAAAATGGCTATTATTATGTCAATTAAGAAATATCAAGTTATACAATTTCATGGTTCAATTGAAAAGTAATATTATTATAGTTTTTTATTTTCTCCCTTTATAATTTTTAACAAAATAATAACATTTCTTTTTTTTTTTTATATTACAATAGACAAATTGAAGAAAAGGCTATTATGCAACAAAAGAGATTTGCCTTAATGGAACAAATGAAAATTTTAAAAAAAGAATTAGGACTCGATCAAGATGAAAAAGAAGCTTTAAAGAATAAGTTTAATCAAAGATGGGAAAATATTCATATAAATGATAATCAAATTAAACAAGTATTTAATGAAGAAATGACCAAGTTCTCTGGATTGGAATCACAGTCATCTGAATATAATGTTACAAGAAATTATTTAGATTGGATAACATCTTTGCCATGGAATGTTTTTAGTAGCGATTGTTTAGATATTTCGAAAATTAAAAAATCATTGGATAATGATCATTATGGTTTAAAAGATGTTAAAGAAATGATTCAAACATTTATTGCTGTAGGTAAACTTCGTGGCTCTATTGGCGGTAAAATTATTTTAATTGTTGGTCCACCTGGTACTGGTAAAACTTCTATTGGTAAATCAATTGCAAAGTCTTTGGATCGTCAGTTCTATAGAATTTCAGTAGGTGGTTTATCTGATGTCCATGAAATCAAGGGTCACAGACGTACATATTTAGGTGCTATGCCAGGTAAAATTATTCAAGCATTAAAATTTGTTAAAACATCAAATCCAGTCATTTTAATAGATGAAATTGATAAGATTTCACAATCGTCTCACCACGGCGATCCAACTTCAACATTGTTGGAAATATTAGACCCACAACAGAATAAGAGTTTTACAGATTATTATTTGGATCTACCATATGATCTCTCAAAGGTATTATTTATATGCACAGCTAATAGTCTTCACACAATTCCACCACCATTATTAGATAGAATGGATGTCATTAGATTAAATGGATACGTTCAATCTGAACAAATGGAAATTGCAAAACACTATCTAATACCAAATATACGTACCGAAACTGGTATGACTGAGGATCAAGTTACTGTTTCGGATGACTCCATCAAACAACTCTGTGAATTTTATTGCCGTGAAAGTGGTGTAAGAAACTTAAAAAAAACAATAGAAAAAATCTTTAGAAAGATTGCACATAAAATTGCTACAGGTGAAGAGACTCAAGTAAATGTAGTTTTAAAAAACCTTGAAAAGTATGCTGGTCCAATTAAATATCGTTCAAATCGTTTATTCGATAAGGCACAACCAGGAATTGTAATGGGTTTAGGTTTTTCTTCAGGTGGCGGTGGCTTGCTTTACATTGAAAGTGTTGTCGAAAGATTTGTTCAAGGGGGTGGGTTAAGAACTACAGGTAGTTTAGGAGATGTTACAAAGGAATCAATTTATATATCCTATAGTTATGTTAAAGAATTTTTAGCTCATCTGGATCCATCAAACCATTTCTTTGATCACAACTCTATTCATATTCATGCACCAGATGGCTCCACAGAAAAGGATATTTCCTCTGCAGGTATCACCATTGTCAGTTCATTTTTATCATTGGCAACCAACAAGGCCTGCAAGTTAGATTTAGCGATGGTTGGTGAAATTACTCTCACTGGTAAGGTCATTGGTGTAACTGGTTTAACAGATAAAATTATTGCAGCTAAAAGAGAGTCTGTAAAAACAATTTTAATTCCAAAAGACAATTTAAAACAATTAGAAGAGATACCCAATTTCATTAAAGAGGGTTTAGAATTTTATTTAGTATCTTATTATAAAGATGTTTATAAGATTGCTTTTACGGAAGATCACGACTTTAAACCTTTAATTTTTAAATCAACAGATAGTATTATAACAGGATAAATAACAAAAAAAAGAAATAATCTAACAATTTAAATAATATTAATAAAATTTAAATATATTTATTTAATTTATTTAATTTACATTTTTAGTGTATATTTTTTTTCATTAGTTTTTTTAAATAAATAAAGATTGTTTATAATTATTTTTCTTTTCTTTTTTTTTATATAATAATTAATTTGTTAGTTTCACCTAGATTTCTGAACAAAGTTCTCTAGCTTGATTTCAGGATCTATGTGTAAGGATTAGCTGTGTAAATTTTTTTAATTAATTGTTAACATTGAGTTTTTGACTTAAACATTCAATTAGAATAGAGCAAAGTAAACACGACTTTTATTAATTTACTTTTAAAATTTTTTTAGTTATTTAATTTTTAATTTTTTAATAACAACCCCTCTATAAGCTATAATCTTTGACCCCAGTTCTGCTCCAGTCAACGATATATTTATGGTCCTATTACATCTTATCAATGTGTTTAACTTAAAAAAAAACTAAAAAAAAGCACATTTATGACAAAATATCTTTGGAAAATACTGGAGAGTTTTTCTTTTTTAAAAATATATATTATTATTTAAACTCTGCCTGTAAGATCTAATTTCAACTTGGATCTTATTCATTTTATTTAATAAAATCCTCGAAACAGGTTGAATAACAAAATTTTCATACAACTGACAACTTAGCAAAGTGGTCTAATGCGATTGACTAGAAATCAATTCCCTTCGGGGGCGCAGGTTCGAACCCTGCAGTTGTCGATTTTTAAAATACCTTTATCTTTCAGGTGATATACCCACTATCTTTCAGGTGACATTTTTATTATTTAAATTATTGTATTATCATATAATGTTTATCTTCACTTTTTTAAAAAAAAAACATATAATGTAGATGTAGCTACTTTATTTATAGATAAATAATAAATATAAATATAAATTCACTTAATCTCACAAAAAAAATATATAAATGATAAACCACCCACATACTTAACAGATAACGAAGCAGCTACACTTCCAGATGCTCATCAATTAATTCCTTTAAATAAAAAAATACAATATTCTTTAGTTTTTTTTTTTTTTTGTAAATTTTATTTTTATTTCTATTTTATAAATCTGCTTCGGTTGGGTAAACTGGGTGTTTTAATGGTATAATTGATTTCTTTTCAACATCTCTAGGTAACGCCTTTCTCATATCTAGTGCATCTTCGTCTCCAGAGTAATAGCCTATAACCGTTCTATAAACTGAATATCCAAATTTAGTATACATATTAATAGCTAATGCATTTGATTTTCTAACGAAAAGATCAACGAAATAACCATCGTAAACTTTTTCAGAACCTTCTTCTAAAATATGCATTAATCTATCTGCTAAACCAATTCTTCTATATTCTGGTGCTACTGAAACTGCTGTTACATGTCCATGCCAATTTTCACCTTCACCCTCTGCTTTACCTAAAACTGAAAGTTAAAAATAATTTATTTATTTGTTAATTAATAAATAGATCTATATTGATGAAGTTTATTTGAAATAAAAATATAAAGTTTTGATAATTACTATAACCCATTGGTCTACCATTTACATCCTCAGCCATTGATAATAAACTTGGCCATTTTGATAAATATTGTAAATAAAATGGTAAATAATACTGTGTGTTTATAAAAAAGTAAATTAGTAACCCTAATTAATAAATAAACAGTAAACCTATTATATAATTACAGTTTCGGTAAGGTAATCTAAATTTATATTATTAAATTTAAATAAATCGTCACAAACAAATCTCCTAATTGTGGTCATAGTTTTACTCGTTTGTGTGTGTTTTTATTTAATTTTATTTTTTTCAAAAAAATTTTTAAAAAATTTAAAAAAATTTTTTTTTTTTTTTTTTTTTTTTTTTTTAAAAAATTTCATTTAGTTAATTTAAATTGAAATGGTTATTGTTAAATAAATCAAATTCAGTATAATAAATAAATAAATATTAGACAATATAATGGATAGAGAGAAAGAGTCGTTATTAATATGGGAAAAATTTGTATCATTATATTCAATACCTACTAATATAAATGAAATCATAAACAATAGCAATAATAAAAACAATAGCAATAATAAAATACTTTTTGAATCTATTAAGTCAAATAAATTAGAAACCTTAGTTTTAGACTGGTATTTTGGTATATATCTTTTTTTTTTTTTTTTTTTTTTCCCTCTTTTTTTCTCATCACATAAAATAAATACTAATATTTATTTAAAAATAGAATCAATTAAAAAATATTTTAAAAATACATTATCTGGAGAGTTTTGGAAATTTTTTAATAATGTAGATTTAGATAATATTTCAAATAATAATAGTACCACAGCAACAATATCAAGTAAAGAATTAAAAGTTATAAATCATCAATTTGCTTTATCAATTAATTTATTATACAAAGTTTTTTCATATTTTAAATCAAATTTATTATTATTTTATAAATACCTGTTAAAGTAAATACTATATCATATAATATCAGGTTCTTTTATTCATATTAAGTATTATTTACTAATAACAATTATTATTCACTTTTTATCATTTAGCAGCGAAAATGAATATATATTAAATAATGATAGTAATACCGAAAAATTAAATTTTAATTCAAAAATTTTAATCAAAAAATTACAAGATTTATTAATTACAAATTTATTATATTCAAATAAGAAATCTAAATATTTCAATACAATTTTATTTATGTTTTTCGAAAGAGATTTTATATCATTTACAAAATCATTTTACAATGCAAAAAAACATCTAAAATCAAATAAAATTGAACAAGGAGATAGTTTTCAAGAAGAAGAGGCTGAAGAGGAGGAAGAAGAAACAACTGAAGAGCCATCCTATGTTATGGAAATATCATTTGAAGATAGTATAACCGATATCAATATTAAAGAAGATTCATTTATGGATTTATGCAAAAAATTACACGACTTAAACTTTATCGTAATTTCAGAAGAAATATTCACACAAATTCTATTCAAGAAAATTTTTGAACACATAGAAAAAAGATGCAAGGGTATTTTTGAAAAGAAATTTCTTCAATCAATTTTAGAATGGGCCGATCAAGTTATTTTTAAATGGTTAGGAATGATATTGTTATCTTCCAACAACAGCAACAGCAATAGTAGTAATAGTAATAGTATTTTAAATGAATCAATAAATAATAATAGTAGTATAATAAACAATTCATTGAATCAATCATTCAAAGATTTAGATGACAATTACAATAATTATAACAATAATAATGAAGAATTTTATAATAATATTTTTAATCAATGGAAAACTAGATTAGAATTTTCAATATATGAAAATTTTTCACAGCAAAGAATTTCAGAATTATTTGATATGATTGTACAGTATCCAGATAGTGTCCCATCATTAGAAGATTTATCAATTTGTTTTCAAAAGATACCAATCGAAAAAACACTAATCAACAATTTAAAAAGAGTACTTTTACAAAGATTATTACATCCAGGTGCAAATACGAATGATATTATTACACAATATATATCTACTATCCATTCTATGAATATTATTGATCCATCAGGTTATGTTATGGACCAAGTTGGTAAACCCATTAGAGAGTACCTTAGCCAAAGAGAAGATACAATTAGATGCATAGTATCAAGCTTCACAGATGAATCAAATGCAGAAATTTATGAAGAGTTTTGTAACTATGATCCTGATAATGCTGATTCTTTAGATTTATCAAATCAAAACTATGACTTGTATTTAGATGAGGCAGATTCATTAGCAGACTATTTACAATGGAATCCACTATCAATCGATGGCAATATAATAAAATCAACAACAACAACAGATCACAATGGAAAACAAAAAAAACAAGTTAAAAAAGATACAATCAGTCATTTGGTAAACATTTATGAAGGTACAGACTTATTTATAAACGAATATAGATCAATGCTATCAGACCGTTTATTATCGACCAACGAATTTGACTTGGATAAAGAAATTAAAAATATAGAACTTTTAAAACTAAGATTTGGTGAAACCAGTTTATACAATTGCGAAATTATGATAAAAGATATGTCCGATTCTAAAAGATTAAACACTCAAATTAAAACAGTTTTAACAAATCAAAACCAAAACAAATTCTTTGATTTTGAAACTTTGATTTTATCAGAGTTATTTTGGCCAACTTTAAAAGGTGAAGAATTTACCTATCCAAAAGAAATTCAAAATAAAATGGATCTCTTCTCAAAAGAGTATGAAAGAATTAAAACACCAAGGCAATTAATATGGAAGCAGCATTTAGGTTTAGTTGATTTAGAAATTGAAAACAATAATGGTCAAATTCAGTCATTCCAAGTATCACCAATTCATGCCTCTTTAATCATGCTATTCCAAGATGATACTCAAGTGTATTCATTGGGTCAATTAACAAATGAATTACAATCAACAAAAGATTTTATTAAAAAGAAATTAATATTTTGGATAAATAATCAAATTATTAAAGAGGTTTCTTTTGAAAAATATCAAGTAAATCAATCTCAACAACAATCAAACGATGGTGATGAAGATAATGGTGAAGCTCAAGACGGTGATGATGACGATAGTAGTAGTGATGAAGAAGATAATAAAGTTCCATTAGTAGAAGAAGAGGAGGAAGAAAAATCAACATCAGCAAAAGAAAAAGAGGAACAAATGAGAGTTGTTGAAAGTTTTATTATTGGTATGTTAATGAACTTTAAAGCTTTGCCATTGGAGAGAATCCATGCAATGTTAACAATGTTTAATAGTGAACAATATACTAGTACAATTCAAGAACTTAAGGTTTTCTTATCCAAACTCCAAAATGAGGAAAAGATCGAATTGGTTGGAAATGATTATAAAATTAAAAAATAAAATCTTTGCACCCCCACTTAGTGTTTTATAAAAAATCACCCCTCCAAAATAATTTTTTTTTTTTTTTTTTTTTTTTTTTTTTTTTTTTTTTTTTTTCATTTATTTCAAAATTTTTTCATTTTTTTTATTTTTATTTCATTTTTTTTTATTAATATTTATATAAAATTAATTATGAAAAATAAAATAAAAACAAGTTATGATAAATAACAATGACATACAATTAACAAATTATAATGATATAGTTAAACAAATCTGCAACTATCTAAAAGATATATCATCTTTTAAAGAATTTAAGAAATATTGGAATGTTGAATATACAAATATAAAAGAAAAGTCAAATAAAACAGATAGTAATAATGAAAACAATAAATTAAAATTAAAAGATTATGTAGAATCATTTGTTAAAGAGAAGATATTTAATAATAGTAATAATAATAGTAATAATATTAAAGGTATAACATTTAAACTGGTTGCCGAAATCGATTTAATTGGAAGTAAGTATTTTAAATAAATATAAATAAAAAATTTAAATAGTTTCTAACTAGTGATTTAGTTAAATCAAATATAAAGAGAAGAAAAAGAAAATGGAATACTTTTAAAATTGAATATAAAGATGAAATCAAAAGAGGATATATAGCAGATGTAATTTCAAGTAAACTTCATTCAGAACTATTACCGTTTTGTCAGAATTATATATTTTCAATAATAGACAATGAATCTCTTTGGATTAGAATATTACTTAGGCATAGTAGTGGGGCGAATAACAATATAATTAATAATAGTAACAATATAAATAATATAAATAATATTAATAATAATATAATCGATTATAATAGTAACTATTCAGTTATATATATAAAACATTATTTAAATTCAGAATATTATTTTATTTCATATAGTAGCAGAATCAACTTTGATTTCCTTTTACAATCACTCTCACTTGTATTCAATTACAAATCAATTAAAAACTATAATCTTTCTGAAAATAGTTTGGACATTATAGAAAACTATATATTCAATAACAAAAGTAACAATAATGATAATGATAATGATAATAGTAAATCAATTTTTGAGAATCCACTTTTAACAGTACCATCACTCAAGAAAAGAAATTACCAATTGGTTTTAAAGTCATCAGAAAGATTACAGTCATCAAAAGAAGAAGAGGAAGAAGAATGGAATAACGATAATAGAGTTACAGATAATTTAGATATGAATTTAAATTTAAATTTAGAAAAAAAAATTAAATTAATTAATAACAATGTTGATAGCAATAATAATAATAATAATAATAATAATAGTAATAATAATAATAAAAATGATAAAATAAATAATTTTTCTCTTTTGAACAATAATACCAACAAAAATAATACTTTAGCCTCACACATTTATCATGGAAATCAACAAAGAAAATTAGAATTTAATTTTAAAACACCTTTAAAATCCAAAACCATTAATAAACTATCACACAACCAAATGGAATCATCATCTCATAATAATAATAGCAATACCAACAATAAATCATTGTCCTCTCTTAAAATAGAAAAAATACCCATCGAATTCAATCTGTTATTTGAAGGTGAAAATCCAGTCAAAGGTATAGAGAAATTAATGTCTATGAATCTTATTAAAAAACCATATCCAAGTTATTTCAGTTCAATGTCAAAAAAGAATTCAATAATCGTAAATGAATTTAGCGATAGTGACAGCGATGATGATATATTTCCAGAAGAGGATTGACATCATTATTTACTAAAATTTATTTAATAAAACATAATAAAAGATTTTTTTTTCACCTATTTTTTCACCCTTTTTTCTGCTTTTCGAAAACCATCATTTTTTGATTAAACTCAAAAAAATAGGTATTTGGAGTCTTTTTTTTTTTTATTCTGCATGGTTTAAAATAGATGTATCTTTATCCATTTTAATTTAATTTTTTTTCAAATAATTACAAAAAAGGTAATATTTGTGATTAATCCAAAAATTATTTTAAAAAAGACAGTTTGTTAACTATTACTTGAAGAATTTTCTCTTTTCTTTTTAAAATTTTATTTTTTTTATTATTTTTTTTAAAAAAAAAAAGTTATGAAAAAAAAAAAATGAAAAAAATTAAATTTAATTTTTTTTAATTTTTTTTATTTTAAATTATTAAAAAAAACAATAAAAAAAAATCTTTAGCAAAAATTATTTATATAAATTTCTAAATCTATTTAGTATAATTTTATATTATCTTTTTTTTTTCATTTATTTATTATTTATTTTTGTGGGTACTTTTGTTGTTTTTTTTTTTATTTATATATTTCAACATTAAATAATTTATAAATAAAAAAAAAAATTTCACTCATAAACAGTCCCACACCCCCCAATAAACAAAGTATATACACATAAACAAGGGATATAGATTTATATAATATAGCAGCTCAAAGATGTCAAGTGTAAATATACGTGTCTTTACTAGATTCAGACCTATGAATGATAGGGAAAAGGCCCTAAAAGAAAATCAACAAATTATACAATTCCCAGATGAAACCCAGGTTGTAATTAACTATCAAGGAGCACCCATTCCATTCACTTTTGATAGGGTTTTCCCACCTGATAGCACACAAGAAGAAGTTTTTAATTCACTTAGTGATACAATTACAGATGTTTTAAAAGGTTATAATGGTACAATTTTTGCTTATGGTCAAACTGGTAGTGGTATGTACAAAAAATAAAAAACAAAAAACAAAAACAAAAACAAAAACAAAAAAAACAAAAAACAAAACAAAAAAAAACTTTTTTGCTAATTATCTATTAATAAATTAAAGGTAAAACTTATACAATGAATGGTCCAGATGATAAGAGTGATGTGGAACAATTAGGTATTATTCCAAGAGCTAATAATTTAATATTTAATAGTATTGCAGAAGATACTACAAATTCAGAATTTACAATAAAGTGCTCATATCTTGAAATTTATATGGAGAGTATTCAAGATCTTTTAAATCCAAAGAATAATAAGAATTTAAAAATTCGTGAATCAAAAGCTATGGGTATTTACATTGAGGGTTTAGCAGAAGAGTTTGTGGCATGTGAGGAAGATGTTATGGATTTAATGGAATTAGGTGACTCATCACGTTCTGTTGCAAAGACAAACATGAATCATCGTTCAAGTCGTAGTCACAGTATTTTAATTTTAACAATTGAACAAAAATCAACTGATGGTAGTAAAAAGAGGGGAAAATTAAATTTAGTAGATTTAGCTGGTAGCGAGAAAGTTTCAAAAACTGGTGCAGAGGGTCAAACATTAGAGGAAGCTAAAAAGATTAATCAATCACTCTCTTTACTAGGTAATTGTATCCATGCTTTAACCGACTCAAAGAGAGATCATATTCCATTCCGTGATTCTAAATTGACCAGATTGCTTCAAGATTCACTTGGTGGTAATACAAAGACTACCCTTTTAGTAACCGCTTCACCCCATTGTAATAATGTTGAAGAAACCATTTCCACTTTAAAGTTTGGCGCTCGTGCTAAAACTATCAAAAATTCTGTTAAAGTTAATCAAGAAAAGAGCGCTGCAGAATTACAAATTATTGTTAACGCATTAACTAAGGAATTGAATACCTTAAAAGCCTATTCAATCTCTTTAGAAAATTTAGTAAATTATTTTAAATCACCTTCATACCAACCAGGCCAATCAATTCCAAAAGAGTTGGAACCAAATAAACAAAATCTATTATTATTACAGGCCCAACAACAACAACAATCACAACCATCAACAGCAAATGGTGTCAGTGGTGGAATACCACCATTAAGACCAAGATCAACAACCCCAACTCCTCAATCATCTAGATTAAGTTCATCATCAACAGCAAATAACAGACATTCAGTTGCTATTACTGGTAGCCACTCATCTTCAGGTAACACTACACCAACACATGGTTTAACTTCATCAATGTCATCGTCATCATTAAACTCACTTGCATCAGATGATTTTAGTATTGAAGATGATCAAAATGGTTTATTTAATCCATTAGCAGTCGTCGAAATGTCAATGGAAATAGAAAAGATGAAGGAAGAAACTCAATTGTTAATCGATAAATTTAAAGATGAAATCTCTGAAATTACAATTAAATATGAATCGGTCCAAGATGAACTTATGCAAGCCAGAGTCCAATTGGATCAGACAAAAGAACAAGCAGAGCTAACTCGTTCATCATTTGTAAAAGAACAGTCAGCACTCAAAGAAAGTGAACGTAATTTATCATTAGATGTAAACTCTAAAGATCAAAAGATTCAAGTTTTAATTCAAAAAATTGAAGATCTTCGACTTTTAGCCTCTCAAGTTATACAGTACTTGGAAAGAAAGAGGTCATCCGACGATTTTGATATGGGTGTTTTATTAAACTCACAAATCAGCAGCTCTGGTCCTCTTAACTCCTCATTTATTGATGAGGGAACCTATGAAGATGACATCAACATTGAAGATATTATTAGATACCTTTCAGAAGAAGAAGTACTTTCTATGCAAATTAAAATTCAATTACAAAACAAGGTACATCAATTAGAACAAAAGATTAACCAAGTGGTCCAAGAATTAAATTCAGCAGAGCAATCATTAAACTCATCCATTATCAATTGCCAAAAACTAGAATCTGAAAACTCAATAATTAAACGTAAATTTAAATCAATGTTTTCTTCAAATAATAGCAGTAGTAATAATGGTTCAATGTTAAAATTAGAAGTTTCAACAGAACAACCAAATCAAGATCCAATGTCACCAAGTCCAATTTACACTTCGCCAATTAAAGAAAATAATATTCAAGAAAATGGTGCAACAACAGAAAACGAAGATATTAACGACAGTAGTATTATTAATGATCAAGATATGCAAGGATTCAATGATGAATTTGAACAAAAATTAATCGAGGAGTCATCAAAAACTAAAGAGCTAGAATTAAAATTACAAAATGAAATTAAATTATTAAAATTACAAAATGAAAAAAATAATGAAGAATTAAATAAAGCCAAAGATGAATTATCAATTAAAAGTGCATTATATCAAAATCAAATTTTAAATCTACAAAATGAAAATCAAACACTCCAAAATAAACTATCACAAGAAAAACAACATAAACAATCATCACAATCACAACAATTAGATATGTAAGTAAAAAAATTAAATTGAAGAAACATATATATTGTATATATTATGTAATAAAAAGTACAAATTCTAATATAATTTTTTTATAGTGCAAATAAATTAAATGAATTAATTAAAAAATCAGAGACAGAATCCGAAGAATTTAGAAGTGAAAGAAAACTACTTTTAGATGAAATTGGTGAATTAAAAGAAAACCTAAATGAAATGGAATTAAAGACTCAAGATTTACAAGACCAGTTAACTTCAACTCAAAGATTATTAAATAGTAGACGTGCCGTTAAAATTGTAAGAGGTGGTGCTGATTCTTTAAAAACTGCTTTATCTGCAAAGGTCGAGTTTGGTCAACATACTTTAAAAAAGACAGGAAAAAGTTTATTTTAGAGCTTTATTTTCCCAATAATATATTAAACAATTTTATATAAAAAAAAACTCAATAATCAAAAACAAAGCATTATTGAAATTTATTTATTTATTTAAAAACAAAAAAAAAAAAGATAAAAAAAAGAAATAAAAAAAAAATAAAAAACTTATTTGTAAGATTATTTATTTAAATAAATAAAAAACTATAGATTACTATATTCTTTTCTAAATGTTGGATTAAATTTTTTTCTATTTGTTTAAATGATGAACTTAATAATAATTAACAATAATTAATAATCAACAATTATTTTAATTTATCAAAGAATTTGATTATATTTTATTTAAAAATTTTATGATATCAAATATTTGATTAGATTTAAAAATTTCATGTTTAAGCTAATTATTGTTATGATTAGAAAAAGTTGTTGTATTGGTTTTATAGTTTGTGATTGTTATCATTCTTTTAAAGGAGCTTGATTATTAAAACCATTTTTGTTCCATTTTATTTAATTATCATTTAAAAGGTCAAAACCAATATATTCTATAATACTTTATAAAATATTAGTTATATGTTAATGTACTAATTTTTTAATTTTAAAATTTATTTATTAATATATGCATTGCAATAAAATTTTATTCTTGCTATTTTATTTTTTATTGTTTAATGTAAAAAAAAAATTAAATAAAAAAATTTGAAAGAAATTTTAAAATGTGGTTATTGGCATCATATAAAGTACACCTTTGAGTTAATGTAAGATTGGGCTTGGTTGCTGTGATAATAATTTTTCTAAAATTAAAAATTATAATAAAAAATATATTAATAAATAGTTTAATTTTTAGTTTCCTAAAAATAAATATATATTTACCAATTTTTTATTATTGGTTTTTGGTACTGGGCCATTAGATGAATCTTATACACCTTTTTTATCACATATTATATATTGTTTGTTTGGTTCACTTGAATTTTAATTTATACTTTTTCTATTGATCATTAAAGATTCAATTATTAAAAATCAAAAAAAAAATCAAAATAAAAAAGGTTTTTTACATTTTAATTATTATATTTTATTCTTATTGAACTTCTAAAGTTTAACAATTTTTTTTTTATTTTTTTAAAATTTAATAAATTATAATTTTTAAATTTTAAATTTTTTTTTTTTAAAAATTTATTAAAATTTTTATTTTTTTTTCTTCATACCCACACTCACACTCACACTCACACTCACACTCACACTCACACTCACACTCACACTCACACTCACACTCACACTCTTTTTTATATAATACTCATATACATTTTTTTAATTACACATATTTACATTTTTTAATAATCAATTTTTCACAAACCATATTTTATTAAAAAAAAAAAAAAAAAAATGATTTTTTCAATAGTCGGAGCTATCTTCCTTTATTTATTTTTATTTTTTATCTCCAAATACTTCACCAATACCAACAATAACCCACCATCATCACAACAACAACCACAATCATCACAACAACAGCCACAATCATCCCCACAATCACCACAATCATCCCCACAATCCCCACAATCACCACAACCACCACAACCAACACAACCAACACAACCAGAACGTACTGCATCAATCCCTAACTATAGAAAACTATTTCAAGATATGGATGCATACGAAAAACAACAACAACAAGATGAACAATCAGAGCCACAACCACAACAACCATATTCTCATTCAACCGCACAATCAACCAGTTATCCAAATTTAAATGAAACCCACTCACGCTATACTACTGGTAGTGTTCCATCAACCAATCAACCACAACAACCACAACAACCACAACAACCACAACAAATCAACCAAAAATCACAACCAAACAACTATCCTAATTATAATAGAGCCCAATCACGTTATACTACAGGTAGTGTTCCATCAACCAGTCAAAAACAAAACCCACAACCACACTCAAATCCAAACCCACACTCATATCCAAACCAAAACCCAACCCCAAACCCAGCCCCAACCCCAAGCACAAACCCAAACCCAAACCCACAACATAAACCATCAAGTGCACATTCTGTTAGCTACCCAACATTTAATAGAGAACAATCACGTTATAATGTTGCTGGTAATTCTAGATCCACCAATTCACCACAACAATGCCCACAACAACCACAACAACCATTTAAACCATCAAGGGCAGAATCGAATTACCCAGCATTTAATAGTGCACACTCACGTTTCAATACTACAGACGGACCAACAACAGCAAATACTCCAACAACTAACCAACAACAAAGGGCACACAAATCATCAGATTACCCATCAATCAATAGAGAACAATCTCGTTATAAGTGTGCAAGTACACCATCATCAAATACTCCAACTTTCAACTCTGCAAATAATGAAAAATTAAATAAGGAAAAAGCAGAAAAAGAACGTATTGAAATATTGGAAAAAGAAAAGATGGAAAAAGAAAATTTGGAAAAGGAAAGAAAAGAAAGAGTCCGTGAAGAAAAAGAGACATTAGAGAAAGAAAGATTAGAAAATCAAAGATTAGAAAAAGAAAAAAAAGAAAGGGAGCGTTTAGAAAAAGAAGAGTTTAGCGAATGCTGTATTTGCTATATCAAATTAGACTCAAACAATACCACCTCGATAGATTGCTCCCATAAATTTTGCTATGGATGCATCAGTGAATGGTCCAAATTAGAAGAAACTTGCCCATTGTGCAGAAAAATTTATTTTTATTTTCATGTAAGTAATTCATACATTAATATTTATACATAATAAAAAATATATATTAATATTAATTTATTTTATTATTTAATTGCAGAGAGAGGGTCGTATTCCAAGAGAAGTCGTATTAGATTTAATACTTCAAAAATATAGTTCAGAAAATAATTCTCAAAATAATTCCGAAGATGAGTCCAAAGTTAAGTCCCAAGATGAGTCTGAATATGAATACGAAGATAATTACGATGATCATTCCGTTTATGAATCAGATTTCGACTCAGATGATCATATCAATAATGATTTCGTTTCAGATGATCATATCAATAATGATTTCTCTTCTGGCAATAATGAAGAATTAGGTGACCCAATGGATCTCGATTAAACATGAAATCGATGGCGATGAGATTAATAACTAAATCGTTTCACTCAATGTTTCAAGTATTGAACTCGATGGCGATAAAATTATTAATTAAATCGTTTCAAATATTTCATTAAAATCGATTAAAATAGTAAACAATTCAGAAATCATCAACATATAGTAATAAATATCATATAGTTCAACTCATTTGAAAAAAGTTCAAAAATGTGCAAGTCAATTCCAAATATCAAATAAAAAGCAAAATATTAAGGTAACAATAATGATATCATCATTATTATTATTATTATATTCAAATATAAAAGAAACTAATATTTAATTTTAATATCTTTATAGTTAAATTCTTTATTTTTCCGAATCAATACTTTTTGTCAAAAGTCTCTAATCAAACATTGGGTTTATGTTTAATAAATAGTCAACAACACCAAGTGCACCATTATCATCTGGATGTCCATCTACATCAAATATTATCACATATTTCTTTTGAAAGCTGGCAAACATTTATTTAAATCACCATTACCACCTTAGTACTTAAATGGAACCACCTCACAAATCACACTCAAAGTTATAATCCAGTAGTATAACCACAACCACAAGTTCAAATTCTACAACACACACCAAAAACTCACCACCACCTCAGTACACTTTACCCCCGTTTCAAATTTTTATTTTTTAAAACATATATTTATAACTAATGGCAAAATCTACCACAATCCATTATAATTACAAGTAAGTAAATTATTATAACATTATAAACAACAACCAATATATGTAGATTGAAAAATTTATTAAGATTCAAACATAATTACTAATCAAATTAATTGCTACTAATAGGCCATTAATACCACTTAAAGAATTTACTCAGAACATGTCTTAGTACCAGTAGTACAATATTAATCAAAATTTCATTATATTTTAAAAGTTCAATTCACTGGTCATTTAGCTCATTGTTCATTGTTCATTGTTCATACCGATTCAAAGTAGAAATCGTCTGTAGACCAATTATAAATATCCAAGCTTTCCATTGCTCCAACTCATCCACTTACCCAAAGCTTTATACACAAGAAATATTGGTGAAAAAGATGAAACTTAGTTCAAACCATGTTAATACTTAATCTAGGGGAGGAAAAGGTATAGAACACTCAGCTACAAAACTTTAAAGATATTTTCATAGAAATATTTATATAAATAAATAATTTTTTCTAATTGTAAATAAATTAATTTTTAAAAAAATAAATTTAAAATTTTCACTTAGTTTTACACACATTTAATCTTAATAATGAGTTGTATAATTTTAATTTAACTTACAATTGCACATTTTTTCACCATTTAATAATAAACATCAATCACTTTTAAGTATATTTTATTTTATTTTTTATTTTTTTTATTATTTCCAACCCTAATATAGCTTTCTTTCCTACCAATGAGTTAACAAACTTTGAATTTGATTGATAATTTATCTTTAATCTACTGCACAATAATTATCAATACACCAAAAAAAAACCTATTTCTTTTGATGATGGGATTGTATGTTAGAGATTTTTAATTTTATTTTCTCTTTAAACCTATTTGTTATAAATAAAAAACAATATATTAAAGGAGGGGGTTTTTTTTTTTAAATCAAAAAAAAACTTTTATATAAAAAATTAAATCATCAAATTAATTAATTATAGTAATAATTTTTACTAAAGAAACCTTTTAAAATAAATAATTTTCTACCTTTTTATACAACACACCATTTTACAAACCTATAAATAGATCGGTTTGTTTTTTTTTCAATTAAAAAATTTTTTTAAAAATTAATTAAAATTTTTTAATTTTTTTATTTTTTTAATTTTTTTTTTTTGACACAACAATTTTTGTTTAAAGATATAATAATAGTTTATTTAATATTAAAAAAAAAATAATAAAGTAGAAAATATATATAGGTTTTTTTTTTATTAAATAATGATAAGGAGATCAACTATGAACTTTACTGGTAGCCCTAATACCACCCTAACAAGAAAAAATACAAATAACTTTAGTAATAGTTTAAATAATAATATGTACAATAGCAACATGAATAATAATAATAATAATAATAACAATAATAATAACAACAATAATAATTACTATTCAAATAGTATAAATAATAGTAATATAATACACCAGCAAAATAATAGTGGTGGTAATAATAGCAATAATAACAGTGGTGGGAGTAATAATAACCATAATAACAACCAAAACAATCATGGTAACCAGAACAACAATACAAATACCCACAGTAATAACAATAGGGTAGATTGGAAATTTTTAAAAAATATAGATATCGATGCCATTGTTAAAAACAACGATATTGAAGCATTACAACAAGTTATACAATTAATAATAGAAATTACCGTTTTAAGTATCGAAAATGACCCAAAGTTTATTAATCTAGACCCCGCAATGCTAAAGCTTATAAGACTTTCACAACTTTCAATTCAATATCTTGTAGATATGAGTGATAGTTACGAAGAAGACCTAAAGACAGCCAATGAAACCATCATATCTTGTAATAATCAAATAGATCAACTTAAGACCAAAATACAACTTCAAAACGATGAAATCGCATTTATAAATAGAGAAAGAATTTTTGAACTATCAATGAAGGCTGAAAAAATTCAATATCAACAACAACAACAAAATTCAAATTTTTTAAATTTAACACCATCAACAATTTATCAAAATAATTTTAATAAATTTAATCAAAATAATAATATAAACAATATGAATAACAATATAAACAATAGCAGCAATAATAACAATAATAGTAATAATAATATTAACATTAATAATGGTAAAAATAAAAACAATATTAATAGGTCTGATAACAATATTAATAAATCTGTAAATAACAATAATAATAATAATAATAATAATAACAATAACAATAATACACAAAATTATAACAATAGCTATCATCAAACACAAGAGCAATTATTAAATATTGAACAACAAAAAAAACTTATTGAAGATAATAATAATTTAAATGATAGAATGAATAAATTTGAAGATTTACTAGAAATTATTCAAAATGATTTTATATCTTATAAGGAAGAGTTAGCTGTTAAAGAAGAGTCTAGATCCAAACAATATGAAAGAGAAAGAAAAAAAACAAGTTTATTAAATAAGAAATTTGAAGGACAAAAGGAAAGAATTGAAAGATTAGAAGAGTTTATTCAAACAAATTTCGCTCCATATGAATACAACGACCAAGTTGATGAACAAGGAATTGTAAATGAAAATAACCCTTATGTAGTCCAACAAATGCAAAATTTTCAAAACTATCAACAACAACAACAACAAATTTATGAACAACAGCAACAACAGCAACTATATGAACAACAACAATTATATGAACAACAACAACAGCAACAGCAACAGCAACTATTTGAACAACAACAACAACAACAACAACAGCAGCAGCAATTATTTGATCAACAGCAACAGCAACAAATATACGACCAACAGCAACAACAACAACAACAACTACGTGAACAGCTCCGTGAACAACAACTTTTACAACAGTTAAAAAACTCACCAAAAAAACAAGATTTAAATCAAAAAAAAGGAGGTAGCGAAAAAAGTGAACAATTAAAAATTCAAGAAAAACAATTTGAAATGGAAATTGAAAGAGAACAACAAGCTAGAGAACAACAATTAAAAGAAAAACGTGAAAAAGAATTACAAAAATCTAGGGAAAAAGAACAACAACAAATATTAAATTCCTCGGCTGGTAGTCAACCATCACCAAGTCAAACTAGACAACAAACTCCAAAAAACCACACACCTTCTCCATATCAACCAAAACAATCACCTCAAAAAATCCAACAACAACAAATTCAGCAACAAATCCAACAAGAAATTCACAAACAACTAACCCTATCGCAACAACTTCAAAAACAAAAAGAACAAGATAATATTGAACAATTAGAAAAAAAAGTACAACAAGTTTTAAATGATGAAAATAAAATAGAAAATGATAATGACCATGAAAATGAAAGCGAAGTTGATGAAAATGACTTAAAACAAAAACAAGAAACTGAAAATGAAAACAACAAAACCCAAGATGAAAATAAATATCAATTTAACCCAAATAGACCAAAACAATGTAAGTATTTTTAAATATATTTAGGGTATTTTAAAGTTTTTTAACCTTTTATGAAATTTTATTAGATTTAACATTAAATAGTAGGCCATATAAGCTACCATCATTCACAGTTCAACACTCCAAAGGATCGATTAACGATGAAAGAGAACAAATTGCAAATCGTATAAATGAAAGGCTAACTGAACAGGGTATATCTATTTCAGAGGGAATAACAAAGAAAGATTTAATTCAGTTTTTAAATCAATTAGAAATTGAAAGAAAAGATGATAGTAACTTTGAAGAACAAAAAGATCAAAGAGACCATTTAGAATTTTATATTAACCAAATTTTAGCATCACAAATGGCAAGTGATATACAACCAATAAAACAACAACCAAATAACAATCTTAATTTGAATAATAATTTAAATAACCAAAATAACAATCAAAATCAAAATCAAAATCAAAATCAAAACAATAATAATGAAATAGGTACCTTTTCATCACCATCAACAGTGTCATCAGGTAGTATTTCACCTAGTCCACAAAAAAACAATTTTAAATCACATAAAACGGCACAAGATCGTAATATAGCATTAATACTTCAAGAAAATAAAAACAATAATAATATCACCAATAGCTCTTCAAATGCAAGTTTTGATCTTTCAAGCGATGAAGAAACATTTAATACCAACAAAAATAAAAAAAAACTAGAAAAAAAAAAACTATCAGCTTATGAAGAAGAAGAGGAGGAAGGTATAATAGACTACGATGAGGATTATTTGCACCAAGAAGAAGAATATGTCGAAGAATAATAAAAAATAAATAAAATAAATAAACTATTTAAATTATATATCTATTTAAAAAAAAACTAAAAAACTAAAAAGCTTTATTTATTTATATTATTAAAACTTTGGGAATAATCCAACAATACCAAATTTATTTAAATCAGTTAGGGTGGAAAAGAATGATTGATCGATTTTTTTGTTACTATAGATGATTGATAAGAATTCGTTTAATGAAATACCATTTGGATAGTTTAGTAAAGTATTCCAAATTGACTCCCATTCATTTTGAATTTCCATTGTGTAAACTTGGTCATCTTGAATCCCAATAAAATATAATGTTGGTTCATTTGAATTTATTGAATCTATTATTAATTTTGAAATATTATCTTTAAATTGCTTTAATTGTTTTTCGAATATTTTTTTATTTCTTGTTGTCATTTCCATATCTTGGATCTGTAAATCTATATCTTCTGAAAATGTTTTATGAAGTTGTGAAAGCAAGTGATTATTGATTTTATATAGCTTGAAGTTATTTGATGGAATAATATTAAATGAAGCTGCATCATCTTCCTCGAGGTTATCCTCCAATTCGATTGACATACCCCCAACCCAATTTTCCAATGGACTAACTTGATTTGAAATAGTTTCCTGTGATGTTAAGTCTATAATTTTCTCTTCTAAATCGATTAGTAATCTGTAGATGGATGGTACATTTAGTTCATTTTCTATAAAATCTAAAAATCTCTTTGGTAAACTTGCTCTATTTGAAATGTGTTTTGATTTTGAAAAACGATCGACTATATCATCTACACTAGTAATACCCTCTAGTTTACCACTGCTAGTATTGAATAAATTATTTTCTTTTGATGAATTGGTAATTGAATAATCTAACAAAGCCAATGTTGAAGGTATACATGAATATAAGCCTTCTAATAACTGTGTTACTGATAATGTTGTGCCATTGATTTGAGATAACGGGTTTTGTTGGTTGGGGAATGGTAATAAACTTTTAATACCGTTTGATAAAACCTCTTTGGATAAATTTCTTTTAGACTCTTGAATAAAATCTGTTGTATTTTTCTTTTGGACAGCTTTACATAAATGAGATAGCTTTCTTAGGTCACTTTCTTCAAAACGCTCTGGATCTGGACTTGTATTATAATTGTAGTAAACTTTGAATTGTCTATTTGCCTCACGTGATAAAATATCTAATTTAACCTTGTATTCTCTTTCTAACAAACGGGCATTTGGATCAAACACGATGGTTTCAAATAAGATGGTATCTAAAAGCTTTTCTAAAAATTCCTTATACTTTTCAAGAGATGAAAAGTAATCGATATTTTCTTTTAAAATATTGAAAAATGTTATAAATGGGTCTGAGGTTACTCTATAGTGATGGGACTTCATATAAATTAAACCATCAATAATTGAATTGTTTATAATTTTTTTGAAATCAACTTCATTGTTTGCTTTACTGAAATCGAATGATTGCTGGATTGATGATTCTTTTAATTGAGAATTTAATTTTTTAAAAAGCTCAGTGTCTACAATATTTATTTCGTTTAATATGAACTGAATTGAATCTTTGAGTTGTTGCGAGGCAATTTCCATACCCTTTGAACTGTCTATATTTTTAAAAATATTCTCTAAAATATGATACTGAAATTGTGGTATTATTTGATTCATTTTTGAACCAATAAACATATCCCATTTTGTAATATCTTCTCTCCAATAGAACTTTGATAGACGATTGGTAACTTGAAATATTTGACTATTAGTTTCGATTGGTTCATAAGGATTGAAAGAAGCAAACACATCATCTTGATAGAACGAGTCTGAAATTGGTTGGATGGTTAGCTGGCCATTGCTCCATTGGGTACTTTTTGCTACCTCTGATTCGAAATGCTTTTGCTCTTCTTGTTGCTCTCTAACGATTTCCATTTCCCTCTCCATTGAGATACCTTTATTACCAGATTTTTTAGAGTTGTTTATTTCATCATTTGATAATTTATCAACGAGTTCCTTTCTTTTCATACGTTCATAATCGTCATAGGGTGTTACATGTTTTCTTAATTCGTGATGATAAAATGTTATACCTTGATTAGCTGCCAACAAATAGCATCTAAGAGTAAAGGGTGAGATTGTGTTATCGCTCTTTTTGAATGTATTTTCATTTAAATTTAAAAACTTTGATAAATCTTTTAAAATTTCTGGTCTCTCTTTTAAAAGAGTATCTGTTTCATTTTTTAAATTTATTAAACTATTGCTCAATTGTTCGTTTGTTAAATTTAATAATTCATTTCTATTTTTAATATTTAAACCTTTGACTGTATAACTACTTTTATTTGTTGTATAAAATCTATTTATATTTTTTAAATTATTTAAAATTGTTATGTGATTTTTTATCATTATTTAAAAAAAAGTTTTTTAATTAAAAAATGAAAAAAAAAATTTCGTAAAAATAAAAAATAATTAAAAAAAAAAAATAAAAAAATAAAATAAAAGAAAATAAATAAATAAATAAATAGATTAATATTGATTATAATTTAAATGTTTAATAAACTTTGATTATAATTTTAAACTTTCATTAATTAATTTATTCGATTTAAAAAATATATTAAATTTAATTTTCAACGCTATCTTGAAGGTCATCTTCACAACTACTATTATTACACATATACGATGGTAAACCTGAACCACAAACTTCCATTGTACATTTTGGGAATGGTAAAATATCTGGGACTACTGCCATTTCACTTGAGAAGATAGAACCAGTTGAGAAATATACATTCATATAGAAACCAGTCCAACCACCTTGTTGTGGTTTAGTCACAGTATACACATAAGTATTTGGTGAAGTTGCTTGAATTTCAAATGAAAAGAAGTAATTTGGTCTAATACATTGTGGGCCCACATGTGATGGATGGCATTCGTAGAATCTAAAATCTCTTCTAACTTTTGATTCAGTAGTACCATGGTATAATAAAACTTTGGTGACAGTACCACTTAAAACATTAAGAGTGATGGTACCTGAATTTTTATCATTTGAATAATCAATTGACCATTTAAATTGTGGGATTGGCATATTTTTACTAACTAAATTATAAAAGTTTACAATTGTGTTTGCAACTTGCTGTGATTTAATACCACTATGAGTAGTATTTGCAAAAAGTGCGAGTTTAGTTTCACCTTTTAATTGACTAAAATAGAATTTTGTTGAATCTCTGTAAAAAAATTATAAAAAATTAATATTAATTTTGATAAAAAAAATTAATAATATATGAAATTACTTACGGTAAAAAGAATTCATCATTGACTGCTAATATAATAAGTTTTGGTATACTTTCAACAACATCAATATAATTAATTGGATCGATGATTTGTGTAAGCTTAGCGAAATATTTTGTGTAAAGGAATTTGGTGATATTGTGGTTAACATAATCTTGAAGAGCAAATGACCAATTACCGTAACATTCGATTTGAGCTTCGATATTATCTACAAGATTTAAAACTGAAATAACCATTGGTGCAATACCAATAACTCTTGGATCCTTTACCATTGCAGTACCCCAAGTAGTCCAACCTCTTTTACTTCCACCAGTAACAACAAACTTATTAACAGTGTAATTTCCTGTAAAGGTATTACCAAATTGTTGAATGGCATCCATAGCTCTAATAGCTGATTTAGTTTGTGGGTTTAAACTAATCCAATCAGTTTCGTTGGTGTTCATAAATTTTGCCCAGGTATATGCAACTATATCATCCTCTTCTCTTAAAACACCATCATTCTCAAAAACTAAATCTTGTTGTGGAGTTTGTTGTAAAGTTGCTGTGATTGGACTGGTTGCAGAGCAAAGCATTTTATTACCAAAACCATTGATTTGACCAGCAGTTGGAACGGCCCAATTTTGAATATCTCCACCCTCTATCATTAAGATAGCTGAATCTATATTTCTATCTAATGCTTTGGGGATGCATATTTGTAACCAATGTTTCCAAACTGGTGCACTACTTTGGCTAGAATTTAACCATTGTTGTGAACCTGAAGAATTTAAAAAAAAAAAAAAAAAAAAAAAAAAAAAAATTAATATTCCGTTTCATTTTATTTTTTTTAAAATTTATACATACGAAATTCTAGAATATGAACATTAGCATGTCCAATATCATAGGTGGCGTTTAAAGTCCATTTGAAGTTTGGATCATATTTTTGTACAAATTCGCTTAATACTTTAGACTCAGCATTGATTAAAGTAATAAGGAAAAGAAAAGCAATTAAAATTTTTAGCATTGTTAATATATAAATGTGATTTAAAATAATAAAAAAATTTCATATTTATATTTTTTTTTTTTTGAACAAAACAATTTTGTGGTTTTTAAAAAAAAAAATGAAAAAAAAAATAAAAAATAAACGTTAAATTACCAAAGGTCGTTATGGGTATTATTGTTTTCTATCTAAAAAAAATAATGTGTTGATTGGTGAATCAAATTGTTTGAAAATAATATATAACAGATTAAAAAAAAATGAAAAATAAAAAAAAAATAAAAAAAAAAATAAAAATCTTTTGGATTGGGTTTTTAATTATTTTTTAATTATTTTTTTTAAATTTTTTCCAGCTTCTGCATTGCACGATAGGATACTTTTGTATTGGTAATACGCAAAAAAAAAAAATAAAAAAAAAGAAATTTTCAAAATAATTATTTTTTTTTTTAAAAAAAATTAAAAAGGATTTGTGATAAATATTTTAATGAACATAGTGTGGTTATCTAACACTTAATGGTGCGTCTTTTTTTAGATAGAAACCATTTTTTTTCCTCTATCAACCCCATTACTTTACAAAAATAGATAAAATTAAAAAGTAAAAATACAAAAATAAACAAAGTTTTTTAATATAAATATAATGATCTATTAATACCCGTATCTTTAAAAAAAACCACATGCGAAGTTGATTAATTTGGAAATTTTTTTTGCTGTTAATAAACGCAATAATGGTTTTTTTTTTTTTTTAAAAGATATTTAATCTCACAAAATTAACAATATCATCTTTTTAAAATAAATTTACACGAAAATTACCATTATTTAAAAGAGTTATATTTTTCAACTTCATTATCTATTATTGTCTTTTTTTTTATGATGCGATTTTAATAAAAATAGAAAAAAAAAAGATTAAAATTAATTTATATTAATTTAAATTTAAAATTTTTATTAATTAAATTACATATTTAGTAAATATATTTTTTAAAGATAATAAATATATTAATTGTACTAAAAATAATTTCTGTATTGATAATAATTCAATTTATATTTGATCATTATGAATGTGTATAAATTGATGAGTTATAAATTAGATAGTGTTTTTTGGAATTGAGATTTGATTTATTAATTCTTTTAAGAGTAAGAATAGCATAAATTTAATTTGGGTGTAAAATAGTCACTGACATGAATTCACCTGTGTCAAGTTTCTCCTTGATCTTTTCTTCAATTGATTGTTCTTGAATACGACTCTTCAATCTGTCCAAAGTATTTGCTTTTCCTTGATATCAATAGCAGTTAAATCCGGTCAAATTTTCTAACTAAAAGCTAATTAGCCAACCAATATTTTAATAAAAAGCTTTATATTTGTTAGTATGAATACTGCTTCTATTTTCCTTATTCAACACCGATTTTCTATCTATTGTATTATACTAATATGCTAATATACTTAGTAATTGAAGCAGTTTTAACATAATTTCGGTTATTAAAAATATTTATGTGTTTATTTAAGGATTGAAGAAGATAAAATTTATAAAAAATTTTGAAATATTTATTTTTATAATTATATTAAAGTATTTCAGTTAAATAATAAAATAAAAAATAATATAGATATAAAAATAACTATTATTTAATAATGATTGGCAACTGTTTAATAGATAATATTACTATTTTTTTTTTTTTAAATAATTTTTTTTTTTTTTTTTTATTATTTATTTATTTTTGTATATATTAACAAGGTTAAAAAAAAAGTATTTTTTTTTTTATAGTATGGATTTGATTAAAAAGCAATTTTAAAATCGTTGTTAACGATTTTAAAAAATTATTTAAAAATCAAAATTATTATTAATTTTTTTTGAATGGGTTATAAAAAATTGTATATTATTATTATTATATTAAATATTATAGATTATTATTAATTTAGTGGTGGTGAGCTTTTTTAGCAGCGTTGAAAATAGTATTTTCACCAACTTTGTCATTAACCATCCATTCATCATTTTCAATTTCGTTGTAAATTTCTTCTTCGAGATCTGGGTATTTACCTTCTAATGATTCGAAAGTGGTATTTCTAAGATTTGATAAAAAGTCTTCCATTTTCTTTTGTTCACCTTCAATTTCTTGAATGGTATTTAAAAGTGATTGTCTGTATTGTGATGAGGCTTGTTGATCAGCTTCGAATTTCTTTTCGACAAATTCAACAAATTTGGCATCTTCAGTAGCCCATGAATCGATGACTTCTTTAGCTTTAGTGTCGAGATTCTTGAAGAAGGCAACAGTGTCTTTTGGTAAAATAGATTCATAGAATTCCCAGTTGATCTTGGCTGGAGTTGAATCAATACCTGGTAAAGCATCGAATGAAGCTCTATTACGTCTAGCTTCCATGAATTCATTGTAAGCTCTTAAGACTTTTGGTGATTTAGCAAGAACTGGATGTGAAAGGATGGCATCAGCAAAATCAATATCAGTGGTGAATTCTTTTCTTTCTGGGACAACTGGTAAAGCTTTTTCACCATCTAAGTATGGTCTGATGTATTCTGGGGCGCTTGAAGTGCTTGGAGCAGCAGCAACTTTAGCTTCAACTTCAACAGCTTTGCTTAATAAACGTAAACCATTACGGAACATTTTATATTAAATATTATCTAATAAATAAAAAAAATAAAAAAAATTAATATATTTCTTCATATAAAACATATTAAATTTTGGGTTTGGTTATTGTTTTTTTTTGTTGCGAGAATGAAGTGATAAAGTGAGATTAATGGTATTAATTTATCATAACAAAATATCTGTGTGTCTTATTTTTAAATATATGTATATATTGATTGCTGAATATTGATAATCGTTTAAAATGATGACTGTAAAAAATTGATATTTGCGCTTTTTGCTGTAATCTGTATCCCATGATGGATGTTAAAAATTATTTCGTTATTGATTAAACAATGTTGCTATTTAATATTAAATTTTTTAAAAATTAAAATTTATATAATTTTAATTTAATGATCATCACTAAATCAATGCAATCATTATTATAAATTACTATGAGTGTTTGTGTGTAATTCGATTTTTTTTTATTTATTTATTTTATTATTATTAGATATTATTTTTTGTGCTGCTATTGTTATTTATTGTTTAAATTTAATAAACCAAACCCAAAATTAATTAATTTACAATTAAAGGAAATAGTAATATATCCACACACTAAACGTACTTTTATATGTATGAGAATAAAAATGAAAAAAAAAAATAAAAAAAAATAAAAAAAAAAAATTAAAAAAAAAAATTAAAAAAAAATAATTTTTTTTTTTAAAAAAATTTAAAAAAATTAAACAAAATTATTTTTTAAACAAGTAATGTGACGAAGTTCTTTATCATAATATTTTTTTAAAATTTTTTTTTCAGATTATTTTACCATTTCCCAAATCAATCATAAATTTATTTTTTGTTGATCACTTTGTTTAAATCATCTTTCTTTATTATTTGTTTTATCTTATCAATATTTTATATAAAATATATCTTTAAAAGAAAATGAAATTTTAAAATAATGTGTTGGTTTTTATAAAATGGGGGTGGGGTGGTGTTTTTATTTTTTTTTATTTTTTTTTATTTTTTTTATTTTTTTTATTTTTATAGGTTACTGATAAATTATTTTATTCTTTAATTGGTAGCTTATTAATAATAAACAGGTTTTTTTAACTTTATTTTTTATTTTTTATTTTTATATATTGCATTATTCTTAATGGGTTCAATAATATTAACATTGGAGTTAAATAACCCAAATAAAAAAATAAATTATTTAAAATTTTAATTAAAATAAAAAAAAATAATAAACCCCCACTTTTAAAATTTTATTTTTTATTCTTTTAAAAATTCAAATAATAGATAACAGATAACAGATATTATTATTTATATTTCTTTCCTTTTTTTTTTATTTCCCTTATAATAATATATATTTATAGAATATATAGTTTTATAATAAATAAAATGAAAAAATTTGTAAATAAAATTACAAATATGTTTGATGATTATTCAAACCCAAATCAAAAATTACCCAGCAAAAACCCTCAGCAACAGCAACAACAGCAACCACAACATCATTATGGATATCAGCAACCCCCACCTTATGGACATAATAGCAATAACAATATACAAACCAACTCAGCCTCACCATATCCTGGTTGTTATTTAACACCACAGCAACAACAACAAGCAAATTTCTATAATAGAAACCAAAATAACCAAAATTATCAACAACAACCACAACAAAATAATTATTATAATGGGAATAGTAATAATAATGCTAATTATCAACAGCCACAACAATATTATTCACCAAAAACGAATCAATATTACTATGGGTACCAACAGGCACCACCATTGACAGCACAACAAGCACCACCTTTATCTCCACCAATAACAAATATAACAAACCATCATAATAATCACCACCACCATCACTATTATGATAACACAAACGGGTCACCAAATTTAAATAAAAAATTGTCCCCACCAACAGTAGGATCCAAAAGTTCAAATAGGAATCTTGCAATTAGTCCAATACCAGGTGCATATGGAGATGGTGTTCATGATGACACACAAGCAGTAACCAATTATTTTAAACAGTTTCCAAATAATCAAATTACAATTCCACCTGGTAGTTATTTGATTACTCAATGCATTAATATTTCAAGAGCTAATCTTCAGTTGTTAGGCTCACCTGATGTAAAGTTTTTATGTAATTTCCCAAGCTGGCCAAACCAACCAAAATCAGGAGAGGGTACAATTGATACAACTGAATATGTTTTTAATATCAATGCCGATAATGTCATATTGGACTCATTAAATATTTCATGTGCATTCGCTTCTCCACTTAGTGCCTCATGTATATATTTCTGTGGAAACGGATTTATAATTAGAAATTGTATTATAGATAATTTTAATCAAGGTATTGTTTTTGGTAAATTAAATGACTGTAGCGGTAAAGTTCCACCAAACTCTGTATATTCAAATATTAAAATTACACAAAATCAAATTACAAACATAATTGGCTATGTTCCATTTAGTATATGTTACGGAGATGGTATTTGCTTCTTTGGTTGTTTGAACGTATTGATTTCAAATAATTTTGTATCTGCTAAACCAGGATTTACCCCAAGAAATGGTATCAACTCGGGTCCAGAGGGTTTTGTTCCATCTACAAATGTTCAAGTTTTAAACAACACAATTCGTGGTGATTGGGACTATGCACTAACTACAGAGGGAGGTGATACATGCATACTTCAAAGCAACGATATTGAAGGAAGCTGTATTTGTGGAATTATCGAAAGAGGAAAAGATGTCAAGGTTATTAGTAATGTAATTCATTTAACAGGTAGAACTAGGGAGGGTGCATCAGGTAGTACTGGAATTCAATTCTATGGTGTTCATGGGGGGGAAATCTCAAATAATACCATTATGGGAAGTGGTGATTATGGTATGCTTATTAAACCATCACATGAAACTAAAGGTGGAACCGACACACTTGTACAAAATAACACAGTTGATGGTGCGTTTGGAAGTTGCATAATGTTTGTAGAAGCAAATGGTGCCAAGGTTTATAATAATGTAATTTTAGGTAAAACTGAGCAATGTTCCGTTGGTCTCCAACTCTGGTATTCAAGTGGATTGGATGTTAAAGGAAATAATTTAGACATTCAAGAAGGTACAGCATGCATATGTTCAGGTATGAAGGATGTAAATGTTTGTTCAAATACAATGATGTCATCAAAAGCAGGTTTTTGGGTGTGTCAAAAGAGCGATAATATTCAAATTGAAAATAATGATCTATTAGGAATTACAGGAAGTAAATTTGGACAATCAGATGATAATACAAATGTTGCAACATCACAAAACTATGGTTTGGACTATAATCCACCACAAAACAACTCTAATGACTCTAAATAATAATTTAAATAAAAAAATAGTGCGCTTTAAAAAAATTCTTTTTTTTTTTTTTTTTTATAATATATATTTAAAATTATAATTATACATTTTTATAATTAATATAATCATTTAATTTTTGTTTATTTTTAAATTTAAAAAAACTATACATATTAATCTTTTTTTTTTTATTTTTTGAAAAAAAAATTATTTTTTAAAATTTGTTCCGCTTAGTATTTTGTAATACAATCATTTAATTGAAAAGGGTCACTATGAAAGAATTGTTTTGGTTGTAAGACTTGTTGTTGATGTATAATATATGGATTATTTAGTTTGAAATTTTGTTGTTGAAAATTAAAATTATGGTTATTATTAAAAAAAGTATTAAAGGTGTTTGGTTGTGGGGTTGATTGATAAAAGTTATTGTTATTATTAAAATTTGTTTGATGATTAAAATAGAATGGTTGTGGTTGTAAAAATTGTTGTTGTTGTTGTTGTTGTGAGATAATATTGTTATTATTGTTGTTTAAAAATTGTTGTTGATATTGTTTGTGATGTTGTTGATATGAAAAAAATTGAGGTTGATTATCATTGCATAGTTCTTGATTTTCATTGTATGATTTTGATTTGTTAAATAGGTTTAAATTTAACTCACAGTTATTGAAACTTTCTAAATTAAACAATGGACCATTATTTAGCTTTGATTCGAGTTCGTCCCAGTTGATTGAAGAGAACCATTTGTGATTTTTAATTGTTTGGCCGCCACCTTTAGTACCCAATCTCTTTAATGGGTCAATTTGAAGTAATTGCATGATGAGATCTTTGAGGTCATCACAGAATAGTTCGTCTTTCATAGGGAGGAATGGAACATCACTTTTTCTATTTATTAAGAATTCTTTAGAGTTTTCAAATGGAAGAGAACCAGTTATTAATTCATAAATTACAACACCAAGAGCCCACCAATCGACAGCTTTACCATGGCCCATGTGTGATATTAAAATTTCTGGTGCCATGTATGGAAGTGTTCCGCAAACGCTGGTGGTGTTATAGTCAGTTTTCTTTGAAAAACCAAAATCGGTAAGTTTGATATGACCTTTGTCATCAACCAATATATTTTCTGGTTTAAGGTCACGATATATTATATTTTCTCGATGAAGATAATCTATTGCAAGAACTATTTGGGCCACTATTTGTCTGGTAGTGTTTTCGCTGAATTGCTTGGAGGCACGAAGATGATAAAAAAGATCTTTCTTGCTAGCATATTCCATTATGAAATGAATTTTTGATGGTGTATTGAAAGTAGTGTAGGTTTTAACTAAAAATGAATGGTTAGTGGAAAGCATTATATTGATTTCATTTTGTACATGCTCTTTATGCTTTTCATGTACAATATTGTTGCGACGGAGGGTTTTACTACAAAAGAAAATACCGGTTTCACGATGTCTACAAAGCTTTGCGGTGCCAAATGATCCTGAACCCAAACTACCAAAAAAATTAAAATCTGTGATTTTGCATCTTTGCCAATCTATGGAATTTATTTTATCGCCCATATCATCTAGGTAAAATGGAGGAGGTATATTTATTGTTGGTAGTTTGAATGGTTGTTGTTGTGGCGATGACGAAATGGATGATGATAATTCAAATTGATTGTAATTATTGCTATTATTTAAATCAATTGGCTTCATTATTAATTGTTGATTAAAACTATCTTGTGATAAATTAAAAGCTGGTGGAAATGGGGTAGATGATGAAGTTGGTGATGATGGTAATGAGGATGATGGTGTTGAGCTGGTTGAAGTTGGCATGTTGTACATTGCATTCAAATCCAATGGTACCAAATCCATCCCTAAAGGTATTTCCCAGGAAATACCTTTTAAAACTGGTGCCCATGGTGGGGTATATCCATTATAATTATTATCATTATTAAAATTATTATTATTTATTTTATTTATTAAATTATCAAAACTATTATTTATAATATTATTATTTTCATTTATATTGGTAGAGAAAGAAACTAATAGTGTTTTTATAGTATTGGCCAATGTATTATTAATGTCCCTTTTGAAATTAGTGGAGTTTATTTCCTATTAAAAAAAAAAAAAAAAAAAAAAAAGATAAAAAGAAGAAAAAAAAAAAAGTAGAAAATATTTTAATTCATTAAAAATAATGAAATGAAAAAAAATTAAGAAATTAATAATTAATTATAAAATTAAAATGATTATAAAATTAAGCTTACCTTTATGATTAAATCCATTATTTGAATTGCATTTTTGCATAATGAGGCAATATTATTTTCATTATTCATTGTGTTTATATTATTGTTTGTTATATATTGATAGTTATTATTTAAATTAATTATTGAAGATGACATTTTTTTGATTTATAATTATAATTATTTTATTATGATTTTTATTATAATTAAGAAAAAAATAAAACAATTGGGTAAAATTAAAAAAAAAAAATCAAAAGGGAGTATATTTAAAAATATATTTTATTAATTATATAATATACTATATATTATATATATTATATATATATGACAGTATATATATATATTTATATTCCAAATATATAATAATATTATTTTATTATATATATAAAATAATTGGGAATGAAAATGATTTCAATTTTATTTTTTAAATAGCTTTTTTTTTTTTTTTTTTACTATTATTATTTTTTATTTAAATGGTTGTGATTGTGGTTGTGTAAATATTTTTGAAAATTTAAATTTAAATTTGTTATGGCTGTTATTAAGGTAAATGTTGTTATTTTTTTTGTGACTGTTAATAAAATAATAATGATTTATATATAAATAAAGTAAAAGAGTAAATTGTCTGTTAATTGTGTAAAAAATTTGTATAATGGGATTTAAGGGGTAAATCTTTGATGATTGTTTGAGATTTTAAAAAAAAAAAATAAAAAAAAAATAAAAAAAAATATTATTATCTTTTTATAATTTAATAATAAGTAACTGAATTGTTTTTTTGTTGTTGTTGAAGTTGTTATTGAGGTTATTTTGGTTATTGTTGTTGATTTTGATGTTTATGGTTATTTATTGATTGATTAATATAGTATTTTAAATTTTTACTCTTTTTCTATTTTAATTTTTTTTTTGATATTTATTTATTGAAAATATTTAAATAAAAAAAATAATAATAAAAAACTGAATGTAAAGTAAAAAGTATAATTAGTGGGGGCAAAGTGATGAGAAATTGGGGGAATGTAAAAAAAATTGTAAAGTATATATTTTATATATTTGGTATTTATAAAAAAGATTAATTTTGGAATTTAGGAATTTTTTTTAAAAGGGATATTTGTAAATATTATATTTTAATTTTATTATTTATGTTAAAATATTAGAAAATATAAAAAAAAAAAAAAAAGAAATTTAAATATGGTTTTTTTTTTTTTTGTTAAAATTATAATAGTTTTTTTTAATAATAAATATTAAATATTAAAATATTTTTGAAGAGTGGTTGTTTTTTTTTATAATTATAATAATAAAATAATAATAAAAAAAAAAAATATTAATAATTTATTTATAAATTAATTTCCTATGGAATTTGTTTTCTTTTTTAAATATTGGTAAAAAAATTTAAAAAACTATGGATTAAAAAAAATAAGTTGTGTTAATCATTTAAAAAGAGATTTGTAAAAGAGTTTTTTTTTTTTTTAATAATTTTTTTTTAATTTTTTTTTTTTTTTTAATCATCAATGATATGTATGTATCAAAAAATGAAAAAGAGAAATAATGTAAAAAAAAAAGAAAAAAAAAGATTTTTAATTATTAAACTCACAACAACATATGAGAGTGTGTTTATTATTTGACAAAATTTGATAAAAATCTCAAATTGATATTTGAAAAAAAAAAAAATATTAAAAAAAAATATTAAAAAAAATTTAAATTTTTTTTAATATTTTTTTTTTTTTAAATTCATCAAGATACAAATTGGCACTGCGTTTGTATGAGCATGGATTAATACATTTAAAAAAAAGAAAAAAAAATAACCCACTCCTTTACAACAGCAACCATTTTTTTTTAGGTCCAAGGGGTATGTGATAAAATTCACCCCGATACACTTTTTGATATCTAAGTTTTCTAGATTCGCGCATAGAGAGAAAAAAAGAGGGGATTTATTTTTTATTATTAATTTTTTTTATTATTTTTCTTTTGCAACCCATTTTTTTCACATAACCATATTATGCGTTTTGCACAAATATATATTTTTTTTTTAATTTTAATTGATAATTATTTTTTTTTTTAAATTTACTGCTTGCTTTAAAACCTTTTTTTAGTCAATATAAGGGTGTTTGTAAGACGACTATTTTTTTTTAAATTATTAATAACAGTTTTTTAACGCAATCAATTTTTTTTTTTTATCACAATTTCAATCACATATCTCAATTTTTTTTTTTATACGGTTGGATAGCAAAAAAAAAAAAGTGTTTTTAAATTGTAATAATTATTTATTTTTTTTGATGTTTTTGTGTAACATGGGCTTGTTTTTTGAGTTTTTTTTTTTTATTGTGCACTTTAATAATTATTTTTTTTCATATTTTTATTTTTTTTTTTTAACTAGACTCTATTCACGTGACTGATTGTATCTTTTTTATTTAAATTAAATAATTAATTAAGTTTCTCCAATCAAATAAAACAACGAAAGAATTTTTTTTTTTTATGCACTAAAAACTATTTTTTAGATATTTATTATAATATTTATTATAATATTTAAAAATATTTTTTTTATTACTTTTTGTGTGATTATGGTTGTGATAGCTGAGGTTGTGGTTTTTGTTGTGGTTTTTGTTGTTGTTGTGGTGATGGTGAAGTTTGTGGTGGTGATGGTGGTTGTTGTATTTATTTCTTTGACAAAAAACACAATGCAAAAGTTGTGTTTAGTTATATGGGGGTTTTCTTTTCGCATTTTATACCCCTAAAGTACACTAATCATAATCATATTATGATAAAAATAATTCTATGGATAACTGTGTTTCCTTCTTTTCCAATCAATGACATCTAGATTTTAATAATAAAAATTTTGATAATAAAAATTACAAAATGCAACTAACGATGAACCATGCAAAATAAAAACTGTTTTTTTTTTTTTCTCCAGAGATTTAATTAAAATTTTATTTTTTCTTTTTCTTTTGTGAAAAAAGTATGTTTTATTTGAAATCATTTGTTCATAAAAAATTTAAAAAAAAAAAAAAAAAATAAAAAAAAAAAAAATAAAATGATTTTAAAATTTATCACATAGTTCAAAATATATAAAATTAAAATCCTTTTTATTTATGTCATGCACCATTAACCAATGAATAATTTTGCAAATGCAATTATAAAAATCTTATTTTTTTTTTTTATTATTTATTTTCTTTTATATTTTTTCCTTGATCCTGAAAAAAAAAGGTGTATTATATTTAAAATATTTTACCTCTTAAAAAATTGATAATTTTGAATTATCCTGAGATAATAACTAAAAGATATTATAAAATATTTAACGGTTTGTTTGTTTTAAATTCAATTATTTTCTTTTTTTTAAAATTTTTCAAATAATAATTGATTTATTTTTCCAATTTGTGAAATGTTGCATGGAATATTTTTCTGTTAAATTTTCATTTTGCAGCAGATTTTTGTTTGATAAAATCTTTTACTTTTAACTGTTTTTTATCAGTGACAAATTATTATAAAATTATTCCACCAACTTTTGATAACATGGATCATTTATTTTTTATCTGTATGATCGAGTTTGAAGTAATTACTACAATATTGCTATTGGTCAAAAAATTTAGAAAAAAAAAAAAAACTTTTTTAAATATATTCAATAATGGGCAATATTTTTGGGAATTATTTTTTTTTTCCTTTTTTTAATGGGCTTCTTTTTATAAAATCAAAAAGGTTTATAAATTTTTTTTTAAAAATGATTATTTTGCTGTTAATATAATTTGAATATTTCAATTTAAAAAATATATATTGTAGAGGGTAATATGTGGTGATGATTGAATTATAAAAAGGATTTTTTTTAAAAAAAAACTGTAAATTTTATCTTCTTTTGAATGTTAAAATTATTTTTATTTTTTTTATTAAATTTTATATAAAAAATGAAGTGATAATAATACATATATGAAAGATTTCAATGTTTTCCAACTCTATGTTATTTTTTGAGTAATATAAATAATTTCATCTTTATACCCCATTTAAGCAACACTTAAGTTCAAATTTAATATTTGTGTATGTTTTAATTCCTTTTTTTTTTTTTTTTTAAAAAATTTTTTTTATTTTTTTTAAAATTTTTTTTTATTTTCATTTTCATTTTTTTCATTTTTTTTTTACTTTTATTTTTTCATTGGCGCAAGATTTGAACCTTTCTTATTTATTATTAAGTTAATAATATATTAATAGAAAACAATGATGTTTGGAGGAAACCCGTATCAGCAACAACAGCAACCATTAAATCAGCAACCATCATTCATGCAACAGCAATCACAACAACCATCATCACAGCAACCACAACAACAACAATCGTATCAACAACAACAACAACAACAACCAAATCAACAATCACAACCATTGCAGTCACAAATACAAAATCAATTACCATATCAATCCATTTATCAAAACCCACAACAACACCAATCATCATTACAACAATCATTACCAATTCAATATAACCAACAGCAACAACAACAATCACCATTACAACAACCACAATTTCAACAACAACAATCACCATTACCACAACAACAACAACAACAAATAACACAACAATCACCACAACAACCTAATCAATTTAACTATAATACATATCAATCTCCAATTCAGCAATCATTATCACAACAATCACCACAACACCAACAAATATCACCTCAAACTCAGCAATCAACTTACCAAAACCAACAATCACAATCAAACCATGCTGTCAACAATCCAAACAATATAAATACAAATATTATGAAGAACAAGTACTTTACAAAGGAAGAAACAGATTTATTTATACAAAATTCCTTTAATAAAAAAATAAGCGAATGGAAAAATTGGACACTAACTTCAACACTCATTGTATATATTATAATTGTGGCTATTCAAATGTTTTTCTTAACATATTTTATAACATCAAATCTATTTTCAATTTGGACTTTATTCTATTTAATTGGTCAAATTGTTCTTTGTTTTTCATATAATTCAATTATTACTGTTTATAGACAAGTACCAGCCTCCTTCAGAGAATCAATCAGTAAACTTTCAACCAAACACTACATTTTCATATTATTAAACTTGATTCTTCAAATTTCTTTTCTTTCTCATTTATTTGGTTTACCAAAAAACAACTTCACTTTTTCATTAATGAAGGACCACTGTTTTGAAGATGCCACAGAGGGTTATATGTAAGTAATAAAGCAATATTAAAAAAAATAAATTATTAATACTAATTTTCTTTTTTTTTAATTTTTTTTTTTAATTTATAATTTTAATTTTAATTCATTCAGTTTAAAGTGCCAATCAGAATATAATTTATTTTTCCCATTATTTTTAATTTCAGCAATTTCACTAGTTGGCTCAATAATATTCAAAACCTTTTCTAATCAAGAGTTTGTTCTTTCATTCCCAAAAGCAAATATTTCTACTATACTCCAAATTAAATCAATGGTTTATAATAACTTTTGGATCAATTTTTATTCATCATTTTATTTGTTTGGTATTGGCTCATTTTTACTTGGATTTATATTTTTGTAAGTTGTTTGCTATTAATAATAATAATAATAATAAAATAATATTAATATTTTTTTTTTATTTATAAATAGATTTTTATATAGAACATTTACAATCCAAATTATTGTATATTCAGGTCAATTATGGGTTTTCTCATTTGTAATACTCTTCCAAAATTTCTTAAGATATCGTTTATTTGAAATTTATTATACAAGAAGTTTAAGATTTTCGGTTGATAAATTTGTTTTAGATGAACAACCATTGGATGAAAACAAACCAACCATTCCATTCCCAAACAGTAACCTTAGTTCAAATACTACCAACACCAATAACAATAATATTAGATCATTAAAAACTCCAACAATTGAAAATCCAAATATATTTTTAGAAAAAGCAATACACGACGATGATCCATTGGTTCAATTTTTAGGCTGGAAAGATTTATTATACATTTCAAAATATTCTCAATCTAGAAGAAACCAATTATATTCAGAAATTATACAAATGGTTGATAAACCAACACTTTTAGAAATAATTTCAACATATGAAAAACAAATTTACGATTTAGATTCTATTTTTTCAGTAAGTAAAACATTTAATTAACTAATTATAAGCTTATCATCCATACTAACTATATATTTCCTTATTTATCACAGTCACCAAGAGAATATTACGAACCAAATTATAAAAAAGATGATGGAGATAAACCAAAAGATAATAAAACCAGTGATAAAAAAAATACATTCAAATTTAATTTTAGTTTTTCAGGAACAATAAAAAAAATAATAACTCAACTAACAGGTATTAAATTCGAATATAATGCATACGATTCAGAAATCAAACAGGCACTTTCAAATACCCAATCAGTTCTTTGGTCAATTGAAGCCATTGGTGCATTAATTGTTTCAGCACAAATTAATGATGATCCAAAGGTTATGGAGTATTTACACAGATACCAAGTACCTCAAAAATTCCTTGCTCCACTCTTACGTATTATTAGCATCGTCGAAAAATTAGAAAATGATTTACAATTCCAAGTTGAAATGGATAGATCAACACTTATTCAAGAGTATTATTTTATTAAAACCCTAATTAACCAAGTTGAACCACCAAAGAACTGCTTTGGTATACTTCAAACCTCAAGACCACATTTTAGAATATTTAAACAAAGTAAGTATATATATATATATATAAATTAAAATTAAAAAAATTTCCTTTTACTAATAATTTATTTTAGTTGGCAAAAATACAATTTCTCAAGTTCTTGAAACCATTGGTAATCAAATTTCAGATATTTCTTTCCCAATTCATCTTAGACCACTTTTAAATAGCTATAAAACCGGTGAATTTAGTATTTATCAATAAAGATGTAAAAAAAAAAAGTTTAGAATAAAAATATTTAAATTTTAATAAAACTATATCATTTTATTAAATGTTTTCTTTATTATACATAAATATTAACTATATGTGTTGTTCTTGTATTTGTTGTTGTTGTTGTTGTTGTTGTTGTTGTTGTTGTTGTTGTTGTTGTTGTTGTAATAATAATTGTTCTTGTTGTTGATAATTTAATTGTTGTTGTAATTGATCATTTTCAATTAAGGTATAAAGTTCATTATGATAGTTATGAATTGAATCTATTAATGAATAAAAACTTTTTTGTATTGAAGCTCTTTCTTTTTCATGATTTTGTTTTAACTGGTTAATTTGTGCTCTTATGTAATCCAACTCCTTATTAAATGAGTCTATTTTAATTTGAATTGATTCTCTTTCCTTTTCTATGATTGCCTTTTGATTTTTTAACTCTCCCTCTGTGTTAATGCATTCAGATTTCTTTATTCTATAGGACTCTTTATTCTTTACAAGCTTTTCTTCGATTACCAAAAGATTTTTTCTGTATTCCTCCAACTCCAACTCCAATTGTTCCAATTGTTTGGTATGCTCCTGAATCATTTTATTTGTCTGTTTGGTCGATTTTTTAAATTGTTTATAGGATTGATTCTCTTTTTGATAATTGCTAACTAACTCTAGGGTATCTTGAATGTTTTTATTTATTTTCTCCAACTGTTTATATTTGTTTTGGTATTTGGACATTGTTGGTTCAAAATCTTTTAATCCCTCTTTCTTTTGGTGAATCTTTTGCTTCATATCTTCCAATACCTTTTTAATTTTCTCTGGTGATGGTACAATTAAAGCCTCCATTCTTGAACACTCCTCCAACGTGTTTTCGATGGTTTTAGAAATGGTCGAAATCTTTTGTTGAATAGATTCATTATAGTTCTGTCTACTGACAAGTGTTTTCTTTTGTTCATTTTGAAATTGTAACATCTGTTTTAATTTTTGCTCCTCTTGTTGAAGTTGTAATTTCAAACTATCTATAATTTGATCTTTTTCCATTTTCTTTTTTCTTAATTCCTCCAACTCGACTAATAATCTTTCTTCATTTTCTTTTGTCATATCTCTTTCATAAGTTAATGATCCATTTTCATCTGATAACTCACCCCATTTTGAAATCTTTAATTGCATAAATTTACCAAGATTAATAATACCACTTAACATTCCTCTAGTTCTATTTGGTTCTGGTTTATAAATATCCTTTGATGTAAAATCAAATCCAACTACTTTCATTAAATTTGAACTATTAAAAAAAATTAATATTTATTTATATTATAATTTTATCTATACTATTATTTATTATTATATATTTATTATCTATTTTATGAACAATACTTACATTGCTCTTAAAAATGCCAATTCACCAATTGCCTCATCTTGTGTATAAAGAGTTGGGTCAGAAAGCTTGTCGATTGCAAAATGTAATGGAACTTGACTTTGCCCCTTATTATAACCGCTGAATGACTCTAATATAGATTCACAAAATTCCCTAATTTTAGTTGGTTGTGGTTGTGTAATATCCTCTTTTGTAAACTCATGCCCCATTTGCCCCAGGCAAAATAATAAATCTGCATTTGATAATAATGGAAATGGATATTTATTATTATTACTATTCATTGTTTATTATTTATTATTTAATATTTATTATTTAATATTTATTATTTATTATGATATTTATTGTTAATAAAAAAAAAATAAAAAAAATTTTAAATATTAAATAATTTAAATAAAAAAAAAAAAAAAAAATTTTAGCGGGTTTTTAAAAATAAAATAGGTGATTAAAATTTATCTAAAAAAAACATAAAAAATAAAGAAAATATAATGAAGGAAATTTATTTTTATTAACAACTAATTATTGAATTTTAGAAGAAAAAAAAAAAAAAAAACTTGTGTCAAAATAAAATTTTTTTGTTTGCCCAAAATAAAATTTTTTTTTAAGTTAATAAAAAATTGTTTTTAATTTCTATAACCATACCCACAAAAATCATCCCTTGAAAAATTTTATGTTTAATAAAAAAAAAGTATTTAAAAAATAAAGTTATAATATGAAAAGGAATTTTAAAAAAAAATAAACTTAAATAAAAATTATAATAATATAAAAAAAAAGGGTTTATTTAATTCAATTTGGAATTATCTTAAGCAGTTGGTTGGAAGGTAATTGGTTCAGTACCTGTAATAATGTAACCGAATGAATAAGTTTGACCGGCTTGAATGACTGGGTACCATTGGAGTGACCAGTTGTCAGTGTTGGCTTCGTTGACCATACCCCAGATTGAAGTTGGTTTGACACCAGTTGAGGTGAAAGTTGGGTTGGTGACAGTGTATTGAGCAGTGTTAGTAATGACACCACCGAATTGAGTTTTGGTGACACCACCTTCGAACCATGATGAGTATTGGGTTTGTTCAATCTTTAATGGTGAAGTAGTGTTGGTACAGGCACATCTTGGTTTAATGTAGTAGATTGAGTTTGGATTTGAACAGTATGAACCAAAGAAGGCATCAGCTTGTGAACGGAGAACACCACCAATAACTCTTGGAGCAGTTGATCTTAAACCATAGTAACGACCAAAGATGTAAGCTGAATCCATTGGAATGTTTGACATACAGATTTTGCAGAGGAGATCAGCGTTGTAGGTACCCCAAACGATGGTCTTGAAATCAGCCCAGAGGAGAGCAGAGGCACACATAGCACATGGTTCACCAGTGGTGTAGAGAGTGTAGTTGGTGAAGACAGTGATACCGTGCATGGCAGTACAGTTGTTGATGGCAACAATTTCACCATGTGAAATGATATTTGGTTTACCCATGTTAACACCAGTGCACATTAAAGTACCGTTTTGATGGTAGATTGAAGCAATGAATTTTCTTTTTAAGGCAGTACCCATTTGGAGGATATAGTTCATACGTTCTTCGTGGACAGCAAGTTCAGTTGGGTCGAGATCGGCTGGGGTGAGGACTGGAGCGTTGTCAGTTGGAACCCAACCAACTTTTTGTGAACCAGTACATTGGCCAATAGTTGAGGTATTTGGGTTGAAGTCATCACAGGCAAAAGCAATGCCAATGAAGCATAAAATTAATGCTAATAAAGTGAATTTATTCATTTTGTTGTAGTTTTGTTTTTTTTTCTATCGATTTAATTATTATTATCGGGATTTAAAATTTATTCGCAAAAAAATTATTATGTGAAAAAAAAATATATGATTACAAAAAAAAGTTGTTTTAATGTTACAAAATAGTAATGATATATAAAAGTTTGTTTGTTTGTTTGTTGTTACAATATGATTATAAAAAAAAAAATTTTAATTCTTTTATATTTTTTTTTATGCTATGGAAAAAAAAAAAAAAATAAAAAAATAAAAAAAAAATAAAAATAAAATAAAAAAAAAAAAAGGCGAATTTGACACAGATATTTTAAAATTTTTTTTTTTTTTTTTTTCGAACGAATAACCATTATGATTCCTTTAAAAAATTTTTATTTTTAGGTGCATCATTTTTAACAACCACTTTTTTTTTATTAACTGCTTTTTTTTTTTTTGTGAAAACTAGTTTATTTAAGAATTTCTTGAGAGTGCGGTCGTTTAAAAATGATAATAAACCAAAATTTGTGAGGTGATATGAAAAAAAAAAAAAGAATCTGGTGTTATTTTTTTTTTGATTTTATTTTGGCCAATGGTATTGTTTGTTTTGTGTAATTAATTGAATTTTTATCAGCAAAGTTAATTGTGGTGTGTAAAATAATGTATATCTAAAAATGCCAAAAATAATATTTGAAAAATAAAATAAAAAAGTGTTATACACACTGATAATTTCAATGATAAATTTCTTTGATTTTATTAATTTTCAAAAAAATTGTGTAAATTATCTGTTTTGATATAAAGCAAATATTATGATTGGGCAATAAAAAAAAAATTGTAAAATGATAGTTATTATTTTCATTTTTATTGAGAATATTTTATTATGCTGTGAGATCTGAATATTATTTGAGCGATATGTGATCTTCTTTTGGTGTTTTTACATTTTTTTAAAAATAATGACCATTATTAAATAACAAAGGGGTGCTAACAAATGGAAATTTGAGAATGTCGCACGATAAAAAGAAAAAAATGATTGGTGTTAAAAATAAAGATATGTGACTAATTTTTTTTTTCTTTGCAAATTGAAGAAATTATCTTTTTTCCACTTTTTTTGTTAAGTTCACTTTACTCACATTTATTTTTTATTATTTTTTATTATTTTTTTTTTATTTTTTTATTATTTTTTTATTATTATTTTTTTTTTTATCTGTGCAATTTAATATTTTATTTCGTGCAAATTACTCGCTCGATTTCAATCTATTTTTTTTTCGATTGTTTTATAGATTGTTAAGATAAACCTTTTATGCGAGCATTCTTTGAAAATATTTGATTTTTTTTTTTGGTCGTTAAAAAGTTTTTTTTTAAATATTTTTAGAAAATATTTTATTTTTTATTTTTTTCAAATAATTGGTTTCTTATTGTTGTTGTTATGTTTTTGCGTATTTTGACTTTTAAAAAATTAAAGTAAAGTACATATGCGTAGTGTGTGATTGGAATATGTTGATATATTATTACATTGTGACAAATATCAAACTTTTCTTTTAAAATGATAATAGAGAAAACAACAAAAAACAGTTTATTAAAACGGAGAAAACAAATTAAAAAAAATCTTTTTTTATTTTATTGTAAATACTCTAAAAATACCTACTTTTTTTTTTTTTTTTTTTTACACAAGCATTGATAATAATGAAAAATAAAATAAAATTTTATTAAAAATTTTAATTTTATTGTTGTGTTTATTTATATTTATTTGTATTTATTTGTATTTATTATTTGTATTTATTATTTGTATTTATTATTTGTATATATTATTTGTTTTATGACTGTAAACCGGCTTCAAAAATTAATAAGAATATTTTTTTTAAAAAAAAAATTTTAAAATTTAAAATATTAAAAAATTAAAAAATTAAAAAATACATATAAAATGGGGGTAGTGTGGAGTTTTTAAACCTGCCACTTATACTACCCCCACAGAATACCCACACAAAACTATAAAAGGGAATTTCCAATTTTATTTATATTATTATAATTTCATACATTATTTTTTTTCTCATTGCAAACCATCAAATTATTTTTATATATTATTATAAAATGAATAAATATTTGCATTTTTTAAAACTTTTGATTATTATTAGGAGATTTTGTATTAGATTTACAAATTTTAATATTTAATAAGCCACAGTTATTCATATGCTCAATCATTATTTTAAGGATTCACCCTTTTTATTTATTTTTATTTTATTTTACTATAGCAATAAACCATTTATTAGACAAGTTCATAAATCAATTAGTTGATAGAGTTCCCTTTTTTCATTGCACATGAATGATTTATATGAATATTTAGTTGGTTTTTGTTTAAGTCTCAGATTATTAATTTAAACATCGTATTAAAGGTGTGGAGGTGATTTTTTTTGAATTTTTCGTGTGGTATTGTTAATTTTTTTTTATTTTATTTATTTGTTTTATTATTTGTAAATATATCTTAATATGTATTAAAAATATTATAAAATAGTAAATTATTAAAATTAAAATGTTTATAATTTAATTTTTATCACAAAAAATAAAAACTATACTATTTAAAATTTTTTCATAATTTCTATTATTTCTTTTTAATTACCCTTTTAATTTTTTATATGGTAATATTTTACCCTTGTACAAAAAAAAAATTTTAAAAAAATAAAAAAATAAAAAAAAATTAAAAAAAACCTTATCAATATCGATTTGATATCATTAAAAAAAAAAAAAAACAATATCAACAATTTTTTTTTTAAAATTGACAGTTGATAATAAAAATAATAATATATAGGGAAAAAAAAAAAAAAATAAAAAAAAAAAAATAAAAGAATAAAAGAATAAAAGAAATAAATTTATATATATAAAGTTTATATAAAAAAAAAAAAAAAAACCAAATAAATATTATGTTTAATTCTATTTTATTAATATTTAATTAAATGTTAGATAATAGTAGTAGTATAGCTCTAATCGAAAATTATATAATTATTACATGTGTATTTCAAATAATAATAAAATGCATCCAATCTATTCTTCGGGGCATAGGCCAAATATTTTTACAGGCAAATTGTATAACGGGGGTGTTTTTTCTAGTGGCTATGTTTTATGAGAATTGGAGGTTGGGTCTGGTAGCTGTTATTTGTACTATAATATCAACGTTAACGGCCACATTGGCAAGATTCAAAGAGGAGAATATTATGGATGGTCTCTATGGGTTTAACGCAGCTTTAATTGGGTGTGCTTTGGTATTTTATTTTGAATTTAATTTTTTGGTGGTGGTTTTTTTTGTTATCGGATCAATATTGTCAACATTTGTAATGGAGGTATTTTTAAGAAATAAGCTGCCCTCTTATACATTTCCCTTTATTGGTGTTACATGGGTACTATTGGTGATAATGAGAAATGAAAGAGTTCCGGTTTTTGAGAAAGCTCCATCATCCATTATAGATTATACAGTATTAGATGACTATTCGATGCCCTGCCACTCCTATGGTCAAGTTATATTTTTGGGTGATGCTATCAGCGGTCTATTGGTGCTTGTTGGGTGCTATATAAGTACACCTATTGGTACTATTTACGGGATAGTTTCCACTATTATTAGTCAGGGTATATCGGTCTATTTTGGTGCTCCTTTATCCGCTATACATGCTGGTCTATATGGGTTCAATGCGGTACTGGTCGGAGTTGCATTAGGGGGTAAAAAAACGATTGATGGTCTTTATGTGTTAATAGCATTGATCATTTCGAGTTGTTTCTATGTAATGGTAGTGGAACATAATTTCACAGGTTTAACATTTCCTTTTGTGTTGGGTTCTTGGTTTATACGTTTAGTTAAATATATAGTAGATATTAAATATTATAAAAAAGAATCACTATTTAATCATTTTATTCAATTTACAAAAAATAATTTAATTAAATTAAACCATTTAAAAAAACAAAAAAGAAATAATAATAATAATAATAATAATAACAAAATTAAAAATAATAATTATTACTATAATAGTAATGGCAATACAAATAATAATAATAGTAATAGTAACTATCTAGACAATAGTAATTATAATATTAATAATAACTATTTATCTGATAGTAATAGTAACAGTGATATTATTACAAGTGGTAATGATCATCACGATGATATTATTATGATGAAAACAATTGCATCTTTAAACAATCCTAATATATTATTAGATATTGTTTGATCTTGTAATTTGTAAATAAAAAAGTAAAAAAAAAAAAAAAGGTTTATATAATACTTTTTTTTTTTTTTTTTTGGTGTCTTTCCCCTTTGTATAACGTAAAAAAAATTTAAATTGTACACAATTATATTTTTTAATTATTTTTTATTTTAAATTTTATTATATCTTTTTTTTTTATTTTTTTTTTTAAATCTGTAAATTAATAATAAACAAGAAAAATATTAGTATTGGTTTAAAATGAATCCATTGGTGGTAAGCTTATGTTTGAACAACTTACATTAAATTAATTATATTTTATTATAAGAATTGGGATTGGTGGTGGGTTGTTTGAATTTTTTTTAAAATGTTTTGGTGAGTGGTTTTGAGGAAAAAAAAAAAGCGTTTGTTGAAAAATTGTGAATTTGCATTATTAGTATATATATATAGCTGATTTGATATGATTTTTTTTTTAAATCTTGCCAAGTCTTTTCTTTAAGGCTCTTGTTCTCTTTCTTAATTTTCTATGTTTATGTTTACTCATTTTCTTTCTTCTTTTAATGAGAATACTTGACATGTCTTGTTGTTCTTTTGGTTGTTCGGCAACAATAGATTCTGATTCTAATTTATTTTCGTTTAATGATAAATTGAAAAATGGTTGGAATTCTTTTAATGAAAATGAGCTGTGATCATTTTCTTTAGTTTTTAAAGTACCATCTAAATTGAATTTATAAATTTTATTTGAAGTTGTTGGGAATGCTAAAACACCATTGCTAAAAGTGGTGGTGGTGGTGGTGGTAGTTGATGTAGTGAAACATCTTTTAGCAATGTAATTATTTGATAATTTAACTAAATTTTTAAACATTTTTTTATTTTTATTTTCTTCTTTCTTTTACAATAGCAAATAATATTAATAATAGCAATATTAATTGATAAATAAAGAAAAAAAGATATTAAAAAAATAATAAACAATGAATGAAGTAAAAATATGAAAATGAAAAAAAAATAAAAAAAATAAAAAAAAATAATTCGAAAAAAAAAAAAAAATTTTAAAAAATTTTTTTAAAAAAAAAAATTTAAATTTTTTATAGCTTTTTTTTTTTTTTTATAAATTTTTTTTTAATTTTATTTTTCTTTTGATTAAATCATCATTTAATTATAATAATTTAAATCAAAAGCGAATTTAATTAGATTAAACTTTAGTGGGGGTTTTTTTTGTTTTGTACATATTTTTTTTTTATATTTATTTGTTCATATACAAAAGATAAAGATATATAACTATGAGAGTATTTCATAGATTCTCAACAGCACACGATGATTTAATTCACGATGTCAGCTATGATTTTTATGGTAAAAGATTGGCTACATGTTCATCAGATCAAAAGATTAAAGTATGGGATTTAAATGACAATCAAAGATGGGAACTTTCAGCCGAATGGAAGGCCCATTCAGGTTCAGTTTGGAAATTAGCATGGGCACATCCAGAATATGGTCAAGTAATTGCATCATGTAGTTTCGATAGAACTGTTTGTATATGGGAAGAAAGTGAAGGTAATCATTCATATACTAGAAACAACAATAATCATAACCAATTTTAAACTAATATTATTTAATATATATATATATATATATAGATGAAAAAGGTCAAAAAAAATGGGTATTAAAAGCACATTTAGTAGATAGCAGAGATTCAGTTACAGATATTAAATTTTCACCAAAATCATTTGGACTCAGATTAGCAACTTGTTCATCAGATGGATATATTAGAATTTATGAAGCAATGGATATTATGAATCTTTCACAATGGACTATTGTCCGAAGAGTTTGAATCACAAAAAGGATCAAGTAATTGTATATCATGGAACCCATCATCAAT